CAGCTGTGGATGAAGCATGGTCAAGTCATGGCAGTACATATACTTGAACCAGATGAGAAATTGAAGTTCATTTGTGATGCGAAGTTTGACAGCCCCAGTGACCGAGTCAAGCGTTGTCTTTTGCCGTGGCACAAATTGCTGAAGGATCCGAGATGTTCTTGGAATTACGCACATGGATACTACCAGAAATAATGGTGGCATGAACCACTGTGGAATGGGACAGCTCACGGAGAATACTGAAATAGCTCAAGTATCTCTAGGCGATTGTAAATCCTGTTCTGGCTGATAGCTTCGGCCTGCTGCGCCCGTCCATGTACAATGATGGGAACATGCATTTCTGTTTTCTACATATTTGCTATCTACTGTACTGTGGTATTACAGTTGCAGGTCCCTTATATAGAAATATGTTCACCCCCCCCCCCCCCCCACATACCCACATAAATATGAACTAACAATTTCACTGTTGGACTTGCCGGTGGCTAGAGAGCAAAGGATTAATTTATAGCAAAGAAAAGGACCAGGGAACTACAAGTTACGCTATAATGTCCACGAACTATTTCACTGTATTTGAAATAATTTTGTTTGATACCCTGAGAACTCTGAAACTGTTACTTTGCAGCACAGTGGATTATATGTGGATACAACATTTATGGAAGAAACACAAAGTTCAAATAATTATAGCACTGGATTGTTGAGATTGTGAGCACATTCCAATCAGTACTCTACATATTTATAAGCGGTGGCAATCGTTAGGAATAGGTCGTGAGTTGTTAGAGTGCTCTAGTATATGAGAGAATGTTTTATTTGTCTAATCGACGGCTCGTTTGAAGCCAGAGTTGTTTGAACTTGCTTCAGTCGACTTGATTCTAGACAGTAGTCGAAGGAATACTATGAAGTATACACCAGGCGTAGTCTGTAAGCTATCTCGTGAGAATTCTGTCGGTACACATCAGGTATCAGCTTGCAAAGATGGCTCCTCTCTGTTTCTTGAAAGCCTGTATAGTTGGACTGTGGCTCCAGCGATTCCCTTCTCAGAGCAGGTACCATACCCAATACGGTCAATGCATATTGGACAAACCTGTGTGCACAACAGAAATAGTGGAGAGAAATCTCTCAGCTCATGAACACATCAGTGAAGTTTGAACTGCCGTTGTTTGTGGCCATCAGTATAAACCTATCGACTATAAGAATAATGTGCAAAAAACCCTCTATAACTACAGCTGGGGCCATGGAATTATAAAGCATCTAACTTAGGGAACTGCCAATTCTGGTCGGAGTTGCGTTCGAGGCCTGCAATTCATGATGGCTATCGTATGTTGCATTGACCAGAGATCATATAAAACTTCCATGCCACATTGAAACACGCACTACTTTCGAGTACTTTGGTATCCCCCACCAAATGGGCATTCGTTCCCGGGGTGGCAGGCGTCACCATTCGTTATGCCTGAATCAGATTTCATTGACCCCAACTGTCATGAAGAATCATTTTTACTTCGACTGGATTTCAGTACAAGTTAGTTGTAGAACTGCAGAATAAATTTTGTTGTATTTGGGCAACCATTTCTCTACAAACGCTCTATTTGAAAAATAATTTTTTTAATAAAATACATGTCCAAATTCCACATCTACCCAAATTGGAATACTTGATCACGTATTCAGTCCTACACGGAATGTTTAGAAAACGCCAGGGAATAGGAATTTGCTAACGAGAACTCCAGGCCAGGGTACTAGCATACGAACAAAACAAGATAAAAACTCACCAGTATACTTGTAGTAATTCATGTCGGTGTAATATTCACGATAAGCAACGAGACACCCTCCGATTTGGTCAAGCTGCTTTGAAGTCTGGTTGTTCAGGTGATACAAACGGGCTTCCTGTTGTTACTTCCAGCAGCTTCACTCTCCCTGCGACAGCGGCTATCAGCCTCTCTCTCCATCGTCGACAATTATCACAGATTCAACATTCTACATTTATCAGCACTGCACTGGGTGAATATGTCTCGAGACGAATTTAGCGGATCAACAACGCTTTGATGGAGATAAATTCTCCTCTGGAGGACCTTCAGGGTACCTGGAAGGGTATAGAAGACGGGATCGCTCACGGCGTTGGGAGAACATAGCAAACAACCTCTTCTTCGATTGAAAATTACCCAAAAAGTGTGTGAAATGTATGTGCGCAGATGCATTTCCACTGGCAAGCTAATCCCTCATTACGTCATCAGCGCTCGCTCGGCCGAAATTCAAAAGTCGTCTTCCTGCTCGACTCGATCGCTTCTGGAGACTCGTTCTTGTTCGAGGGGTCTTCTCTTTCACCTACCTTCGTCTTGGCATCGAAAACTCGGCGTCGAAAATGAAGCCGGAGTGCCCCTTTAAAGTACTGTTTTATCTACCAAGTACTGTTTTGTACGTGTATTGCCGTGATGTCATCAAGAGTACTCTTCATGTCATCCTCGATCATGAAAAGCTACAAAAAAGTAGATGTTATGCAAGTCGTGTACGTACCATAATTTTTGAATCTGGACAAGACGAATTGTTTCGGGATCGTGCCTGGCCATGGCACATCCATAGAGCAAGCTAAAGTCAAAAAGCAGTACTGTAGCTCTCCAATAATCCTGCACCTCGAAGTAAACTGGTCTCGTTGACTTGGAAGCTAAAATTCTGTTCAGTAAGTAAATTAGTTCCCCTCCTCTTTCACTCTCATTCATCCTACTTCCTTTGTTTTTCGTTCTGCGAATTTCCTCGAATCATGTAGTGATAATAATACTGTCGCAGGTGTGCCTAATCCGCGACCCCGTAGCCACATATCCCGAGCGTCGTTTACCCCTGCTGTGATTATTTTGAACTTGCTACTGTCTATCATGTACATGACTGGTCACTGGAAAAATCAAAGAGAAAATTTGCTATTAGAGAGGTTCTGCTACACGGAACTACGTACCAAACTCCGTGTCAACTGCAGTGAAGTTTGACACGGATTTTTCGTACGTTGCACTGGTTCTGCTGTACGTAGCATGCTCGTAGCATGCACGAACACCCCGCCACATGTACTCTGTACGCTCAGTTTTCACACGGAGTCCAGTCCGTGGGAAGCGTGCTTCACAAGCGTGCTTCACACGGAAAACGGTATGAAAAAATCCGCATGAAACTTGATCCCGTACCGCGGCGAGGTTTCCATACGTACTTTGGCACGTTTTACCGTGTGGCAGAACCTCACTATTAATTTGTATCTGTGCACGGCGTAACGAGTGTCAGCGCGCTGACCTCGTGTATTTTTGTAGCAGCGTGGGTAGAGTACGGCGAAACGGACGTATGGGGTTCCTGCTTCAGCAGCAACAATGATAATATATATCAATCATGAATTAACTGTTAGCAACGGTCACTGAGAGCAACAACAATATCATGAACAATTTTCACTTTTGGTCGATTTCTCCGCATCATACGGAGAGCTGGGAGAAGATATTGGCAGTGGATTGTTGTTCTTGTGCTGTTAATTCAGGACAGGCACTGGGGATGCTGTGCAATCGTGCAGCAAGCTGCGGCAGGGGATATTTCTCATCCTGTCACCGCTTGCCTGCAGAGCACACAACGTCCATTCTCTGTCGTAGCAGGCGGCACTTCTCGTAGTTCGTGCTCGCCGCTGCTCCTTATTCGTGCCTATCAACATGCATGTGTGCTTAGATTTCTGTAGATGGGTGCATCATAGATATCGATATGGTGTTTGGTAGACTCGCTTGCACACCATAGTATGCTGTTCTTTGCATTGTGTGATTTAGGCTGTTCTATACGCTGACTGGCCTTTTTTTTCTCTCTTTGGGCTGCTGTTTGGGCAGCTATCACAGCTAGCGCACCGTCACACAAAAAGGCAAACACGAAAAGGCTGACGCCTTTGTACAAACGCCGGGCATTGCCCCCTGCAAGGAGCATTGTATCATGAAAATGATGTCAACTTGAAATTCTGTCTGGACAGCACTCCATGTGGGAGTTGTACTCTCTGGGGGTGGGGGGATGTACTGTCAATGTAGAATATGCCCGGCAGGTCCTTCAGTGTTTGCACACAAGTTGAACCGAGGAAATCATTATGTGCACTGCAGCTTAGTCTGTACTACACGTACAGTGAAACCTGTCTAAGGCGACCCCTCAAGGGACGAGAAAAAGTGGTCGCCGTGGCCAGGTGGTCTTCTTATCCAGGTTCAGTGGGTCACGTGACCATATCCACATGTAATACATCATTTTGATCAGTGCATCACAGTGCACACGCCTATGCTACTCTAGCACGACTCATGTGCCTGGGGTCCTCAGACCTGTCAAATGTCGTGCATGCACCATGTACATCTACACTTCCTGCGCTGATGTGTAGATCTACCATGCCTGGTGCACCATTCAATGCATACATTTACATGACTAGCACTGTGCAACGCGGTCGCGGGTGGGTGGTCGCCGGTCGCGTTGAGCGAGTGGTCGCCTTATCCGAGGTGTTTTGAATGTGAATGCGTCCGTGACAAGGAAAAGTGGTCGCCATGGTCGAGTGGTCGCCATATCCGAGTGGTCGCCATTACAGGTTTTACTGTATATTGATATCTAGTTACTCACGCGATACCTCGTATTATCAGCCTAAGGGCGCGTTCGAATTGTCTTCATCAACTGTTCTAACAAATTTTATAAAGAGATTAGTTGAAGTGTCCTATTAGAACGGTCTCATCATTTTTAGAGTTTTTCAGTGGAATTGTCATGGCGATGATGACGTCCGATCAGATCGACCATCTCCACGTACTACGTGACGTAGCTATTCCAAACTCTTCGCAACTAATCCACCTTCCCATCGGATGAGTTTCGAGGAGCTTCGTTTTTCTGAAGAGGCCAATAAGGCCACCTCTTCCGAAAAACGAAGCTCCTCGAAAAGTCAAAGAGTGACAATTCGAACGCGCCCTAAGTTTGTATGTGTGTGTGCGTGCGTGTGTGTGTGTGCGTGTGCATTTGTGTCTTGCTGTGTATGATCTACTCAGAAATCCTGCTGGTGGCAGTGGCAGCGGCACCCCCGGTGCAGTCACTGATATGGCAACTGGAGTCGGTACGAGCAATAGCAGCATGGGTCCCACTCGCGTTGAAACGGACAGTTTCGGACCCATGGAAGTGCCAGCCCGGTATTATTATGGTGCGGTGACTGCTCGTTCGTTAGTCAATTTCAATATCGGTGGTGACCGAGAGCGGATGCCGGTGAGTTACTCGCACGTTTTGATGATGAATCATCATTGCATGTGTGGTTCTTGCGCTGTGTGTAGCTGTATGCATGTATGTGTGTCTAACTGTTCACTCCTACTGTATCCAGTGTACTGTAAGAGTGTTGGTATTGTGCTGTGTGTGTGTGTGTGTGTGTGTGTGTGTGTGTGTTTGTGTTCCCTGTAGCTTCCAATTGTGCGAGCGTTTGGATTCCTCAAGCAGGCAGCGGCTGAGGTAAACATGAACATGGGACGTCTGGATCCTAAACTAGCGCAGGCCATCATCCAAGCATGTCAAGAGGTGAGGTTTCACACTTATGTCCAGCACACGCACGCGCACAAACACCATGTACACGTACCATGTACGCCAGTCGCAAGAGAAGCACGCAAATCTGCAAATGCACTGGATGTGCAGTTGTACACCCACAGGTTTTCTCTTAGGGCAACGGTAGCAGACAAGACCTATGTATGCCCGGCCGCGGGGAGATGCGTGCAAATCTGCGCACACCATGTACGACACACACACACACACACTTCAGACCTCAGGCCTGCCCATCGCGGAAGCGATGATAGCGAACAGCTATGTCAACACAGCAACTTGTGCTGGGATTACACCATTCAACAGCTTGCAAGGCTGATGAGTTGACCGCCACTGACTTTTAGCCTGGTATCCACACACACATACACACACACACACACACACCAGGGCGTGCTCGGCTTCCCTTCCAGGGGGGTGCACCACTTCCAGACAACAGCAATTTTCAAAAGGTTGTACCGGTGACATCTTCAGATATTTGTACATGTGACGGCATTATTACTGTTACAAAGAGCGTATGTCATCAAGAATGAACACAGTACAGCATTTAAACAATCGGCGAGGAGACAATAGTCGTAAAATGGCAATAAATAAGATAAATTGTGCACTCATAACAACAGCAAAAAATGAAGAAAGTCAAGTTCCATATCGTTTTCTCGTGACTGTCATCAGTGGAACGCCGTCACATAAAAATGTAATAACTAAAACACACACTTATATACATGTAACTAATATGGTTTCAGGTAGAAATACAGCAGCCAGCAAGTACAAAAAGCGAAGTTTGCACCTTTGCAATGTGTGAATATAGTGTATGTGAGAAAGGTAGTGGCAGATGAATGTGATACTGTGTGAATGAATGTAATGGTGCGTGTGTATTACTTGAAGAGTGTGAGTGATACAATGTTTGATACAACGTTGCAGGTGTTGGAAGCTGTGTATATTCGTACTCGTGACCCTGTGCCATGTAAACAGAAAGAAAACGTTGTATTACTCACACTCTTCAAGTAATACACACACACCATTACATTCATTCACACAGTATCACATTCATCTGCCACTACTTTTCTCACATACACTATATTCACACATTGCAAAGGTGCAAACTTCGCTTTTTGTACTTGCTGGCTGCTGTATTTCTACCTGAAACCATATTAGCTACATGTATATAAGTGTGTTATTACAGGGTGCGACAGAGCTCTTGGCCATTGAAGAAAATGTTGAGTCACCTAGTCGGCTAAAGAGCGCAGTTTAATGGTGGAGGTGACTCAACATTTATATAAGTGTGTGTTTTAGTTATTACATTTTTATGTGACGGCGTTCCACTGATGACAGTCACAAGAAAACGTTATGGAACTTGACTTTCTTCGTTTTTTGCTGTTATGAGTGCACAATTTATCTTATTTATTGCCATTTTACAGTACAGCATCATATCAATTTATAAATGTTTAAAAACCAATCCGCCGACGGCACTGTGCCAGGCAGGCCGATGCAAACACACATTGCACGGATATAGCTAAGAACAATCGTCACACTAGTTGACGTATCTGGACAGGATTCGGCGAGGAGAGCGTCGAAAGAACAGCTTCAGCACCTCATCTGTGGATGTGCTCCCGCGAGGTCAGGCTTTCCGCAATACATTGGTGACTTTTCAAAACCCCGGTCGAAATATTTGGGGGGGGGGGGTGCACTTGCCCCCTGTGCCCCTCGCCAAGCACGCCCCTGCACACGCACACACACGCATGCATACACACTGGGGAGGGATGAGTGCATACACAGCATAGTGTGTGGGTGTGGGTGTGTGTGTGGTACATGGTGGGTGTTTGCGTGTGTGTTTGTGTGTGTGTGTGTGTGTGTGTGTGGGTGACTGTGTGACTGTGCTCATATGGGCCACGACTTGTCACTAGCTTTTTTGAGGGTCTGCTCGATGACGCAGTTTGTCAGTTTATGTAGCCAAGTTTTATGCTGTTCTTTGTGTTTGCATGCTATTCAGGTGGTAAAAGGGTCTTTTGATGACCACTTTCCGCTGCCTATCTGGCAAACCGGCTCCGGCACACAAACAAACATGAATGCCAACGAAGTGATCAGCAATAGAGCGAACGAAATCCTCGGCCAACCCCTGGGTACCAAGTCGCCGGTGCATCCCAATGACCACGTGAACATGGGCCAGTCGTCTAACGATACCTACCCGACCGCCATGCACATAGCCGTTGCATTGCAGTTACAAAGAGTTACCTTGCCCGGCCTGGTGAGCTTGGAGATGGGACTGATCAAGAAAGCGCGGGAGTTTAAATCGATTGTCAAGATCGGTCGCACGCATACGCAGGCAAGTGTTGATGATCTCCGTGGCAGATTGCTCTGGCTGTTTTTGTATGTGGCACACCTGTAGGTTGTGATGTGAAACTCACATGAAACTGAGTCGGTGTGTGTGTGTGTGTGTGTGTGTGTGTGTGTGTGTGTGTGTGTGTGTTAGGCTTGGATTTCCACTGCTGCGCTCTCAGTTTACATAGAGGGGGGGGGGGCACAGGGATGATATGGATGACTGCGGTGTTTTGAATTACCGTCAAGATCTTTACAAACTGTCCGCAGGCAATAACTTTAAAAGTACCGCTTTCTTCACAACGTATCCATCATCGTACCCGTTTGCATTAGACTGGTTTGCTGAGCATTTTACTTTGGTTTGTTATGGGTACTAGACTCTTGGCACATGCCCTTATACACAATGAGCCCCTCCTGTTCATTGTGTCTGTGCTGCAGGATGCAACGCCGCTGACACTGGGGCAGGAGTTCAGCGGATATGCGCAGCAGGTCACGAACTCAGTGTTGCGCATCAAGGACACCTTGCCGCGCCTTTACCAGATTGCCATTGGTGGCACCGCTGTCGGAACAGGTCTCAACACCCAGGAAGGCTGGGCTGAGGAAATGGCCTGCAAAATCTCAGAGCTTACAACGGTAAGCCATCCGGCAGTCTTTTTTTCTTCCCTGGGCACAGTCACCCAGTGGTCATTGGATATACGTGCAGCCACCTATCCACGAGGATGTCAAGTACAATTACCTGAGCACCTATTTTCTAGGCATGTCATCCTTGGAACACTATTCTCCTACTGGGAGTCGCAGAATGTCAACTTTCGGATTTAAATAAAAACTGAGATGCGCTGGTATAATGCCATCTACTATGATTGTATTATCAGTTGGTTTGTATATAGTCATTCGGATAGCTGGCATGCATGAGAAGGTGAGCGCAACCAAGACAAGCCCCCTCCACACAAGCCCCCTCCTTATGTTATTTCTATAACTTAGAACCTTCCTAGCTGGAAGGCTGTTGGAGTGCGCATCCAAGACATGCTAGAGCTGATTGCCAGTTAGGTGTAGAACGTCAGTACCGTTGGTCAGTGTCGTGCTATGTTATCGCATGAGCTGCTTGTAAAGTAACTGGTGGTGTTAGTGGATATTATAGCGTAACTTGTAGCTCTTTGGTCCTCTTTTCTTCTTATAAACTAATCCTTGGCTTTCCAATCAAGTCTAACAATGCTAATCATTACTCAATTTTTTTCTAACACTCCGCCATGCATCTGGCAGTACTTTGTTTCCTTGTAGGCACTTTGCCTGTTGCTACCATATGTACAATGCAGTGCGAATCGAAATGGAGTTTGATCTGTTCTGCATTACCCTGTACAGCTGCCATTCCTGACCGCCACGAACAAGTTTGAAGCCCTTGCTGCCCATGACGCCATGGCCGAAGTGCACGGCGCACTGAACACAGTGGCGTGCAGCCTCATGAAGGTTGTGAACGATGTGCGCTTCCTGGCGTCTGGACCCCGCTGTGGCTTCGGTGAAATCTCTCTACCGGAGAACGAGCCCGGCAGCAGCATCATGCCGGGAAAGGTCAGTGCTGCTGAGGCTAGCGATAGCGCTGTATGTTCGTTCCGTGTGTTGGACGTTGCGATCTTCAGCGTTTTTTTCTTGCCTCGTATGTTTTTTTTTTTTTACAGAATGCACCTCCTACTGATAGACCATAACAAAGAGAGGAGAAGAAGAAGACAAAAGAAAATAATAATCGAGACAACAAAGGAGAAAGACAGACAATGTACTAGGAGGGGCTCTCAGGGAGCCTGTGCCAGTGAGGCGGCACTAGCAACGCCGACCTAGGGTCTCGGCGTTAGCGCTATCCAGCGCACCATGGACGGGATTACGAAACACATGTAAATAGATAAGTGAGGGGAGGGAGTTGATTGTGGATATATGGGGTGTTACAGCGAGTCTGTAGCCCAATACCAGCGGCTTTGTTGTAGGTGCTGATGCACCTTGCCCTTGAACGACTGGAGGGACGTCAGGCGTGGCGGAGACTGCAGCACAGTTGGGGGCAAGTTGTTCCACTCGTCAATGATGCTGTAGGGGAAGCAGCGTCGCACGTAATCAGGAGAGGAAGCCGGGAGGATGTTCTGTAGCTGAGACTCGTGGCGCACCGAGTTCGAGGACATGTTCGTGGAGGAAGCTGTGTGGGGGGGGGGGGGGGGGACCAGCGACGTTAGTTGCGGTGGCCCTGCCAGACACATCAGTTTATACATATAGCTGAGGGCGGCGACCAATCTCCTTGCTGCCAAACTCCGGAGGAGGACATCAGGGCCAAGAATGTGGAGGGCGCATCTCTGCACTCGATCGAGAAGGCGCAGATGGCTTGAAGCTGCTCCCATCCATACCAATGGCGCATACTGTAGGACTGGCCTCACAAAACCTCTGTAGACGGTTCGTTTACCAGCACCATCGAGTACGCGAGCAGCTTTGCGCAGGAAGCCCAGGCGAGAATTCGCCTTGAGTGCTGTGTGTGGAGGTGGATCTTGAAGGAGAGGCCCGAGTCAAATGTGATGCCGAGGAGTTTTACCTCCGATAGCTCAGACACAGTGTGATCTCCAAACGTGAGGTCCATTATAGGCCACCTGTGCCGCTGATGGGCTATCGTCATGAGCTGTGACTGTGTGGGCTCAAACCTGATCCGCCACTTCTTGCCCCAGTCATGGAGCGCATCCAGGGTGGCTTGTAAGCTTTTCTTACTGTTTGGGAGCAGTTCCGGCGATCCAATACAGGTGTAGACCGTTGTATCATCGGCGAAGGTGGCCAGTGAACATCCAGGAGCTAGGCACTGCTCCGCATCGTTTACATAGATGAGGAACAGAGTTGGCCCCAGTATGCTCCCCTGGGGTACTCCCGACTCTATAGGGTAGGGCGACGAACTCTGGCCATTCACAACAGCCTGTAACTTCCTGAGGGGCAAATAATCTGTCAGCCAGGTCTGGGCTCTGCCACGGATGCCGAGTGTTTGCATCTTGTAGGTGACTCCGATGTGTGATACCTTGTCGAAGGCGCCTGCGATATCTACCGCAAGAACCATCGAGCATCCTCCACTTCCAGTGGTGAGAGTCCACTCATGATTCAAGGCAGTGAGGAGGTCGGCTGTTCCTAGGCCTCGTCTGAAGCCAAATTGGCGTGCAGAGAGGAGGTGGTGGCGCTCAAGGTAGTTTACTAGCTGGTGATTAATGATTCCTTCCATGACCTTGGAGCATATGGACAAGAGGGATACCGGGCGATAGTTTGCTGGCAGGGAGCGAGAGGCCTTCTTGTACACTGGTACCACATTCGCTGTTTTCCAGGCCGCTGGCTGGACACCGGACCGAAAACAGAGCGAGAAGAGAGTTGACAGGGGACGTGCTAATTCATGGCAGCATTCCTTAAGGACACAAGCTGGAATTTGGTCGGGGCCCGTAGCCTTCCCTGGGTCGAGTCTGGACAAGTGTTTACAGACAATGGGAACCCTGAAGTGCACGTCCATGAACTGATATGGTGTAGGTGGAATATGGTCTGGAATGTCAGTGGGACTCAAGTCGTCACCACCAAGACTGCACTTCTGCGAGAAGTAGGTACCGAAGCACTCAGTGAGATGTTCACGCTGGTTGGAATCAACAAGCGTAGGAATGACAGAGTGTCGTTCCTTCCCGGCGGCGGCTTTAATGGTACTCCACCACTGTTTGTCCCGCAAGTTGCCTGTTCGAAGCTTCTGCTTGAGGTGTTCCTCCCAGGAAAGTTGGGCTTGCTGCAGAGTGGACACAGCATTGGTAACTGCCTGGACATAGGCTGCTTCTTCCTAATGAGAACTCTCAAGCCATCATCTGCTGAGCGTGTTCACAGATTGTTTCACAGTTTCAGTTAGCTCTTTCGTGTATGGCTTTTGCCCATTTTGTATGGTCTGTTTTCTCCTTCCTTCTTCTTTCCTCCTCTTCTTCCTCCTCTTCCTCCTCCTCCTCCTCTTCCTCCTGCCCCCCCCCCCCCACAGAAGTACACAAATCCATATCAGTATTGTTGTGGACATTGAAATCCGACGGGATGACCAGGCCCGGTGCCCTTACCGTAAAATCCCGCCAGCGCGCCCCGCCCCGTCTCTCCCATCCGCCCCCTCCCTGACTTCTTGTCAGGGAAGTGATTGGTTGTATCCTCGTATGACTCTGTGATGCCGTACTGTACTGCAGACGGGTGCTCGACCCCGTTGGAAATGTACGCAACAGTGCCCACCCTCCTGACCAGGGATCGCACAAACACTGAGTTTTGATGGGTCTGTACCACTCCCTGTTCTTGACCTTTGGTCAGTGTACGAGATGCACGAACAGTTTTCGTAGGGTGAGTACTTTTTCGCGTAGTACTGAATGCGGTAAGTAGGACTCGCCCATCCGCCCCTCCCCATCTGGACCTACTCGAAGGGTGGCGAAGGTTGGGGTGCTCTGGCGGGATTTTATGGTACTTCTTTGAGCGTGTATTCACACTGTACTTCACATACACACACACTGTATAAATGGACCAGTGCTCGCGGCTGCAAGGCCTGTGCCCCGTGGCCGCTTGACTTCTCAACGGATTTCAATGTCCGCTACAGTACGTCACTGAAACTTTTAGTGCAACATTTTTTAGCAGGAGCTGACTGGAGAATTGTTTGTTTGTGTGTGTGCCTACTGACTTTGCCCACTGTGCAGGTCAACCCTACCCAGTGTGAATCCTTATCAATGGTGTGCGCGCAAGTCTTTGGCAACCACACAGCCATTACGGTGGGTGCCGCCAGCGGACACTTTGAGCTCAACGTCTTCAAGCCGATGATTGTCTCGAATGTGCTGCGATCACTGCGCCTACTGGGTGATGGCTGCCTGTCGTTTACAAACCTCTGCGTTGTCGGCATTCAGGCCAACACTGCCAAGATCGCCGAGCATGTGAGTCCCTGATTGTATGACTGCACTGTGCTTTAAGAGAGCATGTCTGAGAATACCAAAGTATGTGTGCAAGTGGATCTCTCCGATTTCGCTCCAAATTTGCAGGTATGTTCCCTTTGGGGTGTGGATCGATTGTGCAAAGCCCTTGAAAAAGTTTCTGAAGGGAACCTTGAAATTTGGATACCCCTCAGAAATGGCCGAAATATCACATTATTTATGGGTCTAGAAAAGAGTCACGCCACAGCGTATACGAACAAGCTATGAACAAAACTCCATCAAGCCAACATTGCCTCACCTTAGAAGAGTTCCTGGAGCGGTACCGCTTAGCCACGCCAGGATCCCAGAAGACGAGGTCCATCACCCCCTGACGCCACAAATGATCGTCTTGAAAATAGCCAATTTACAAGCGCTGGCAAAACAGCCAGCTACGTCCTCAATTGGCCAGAACTATACACCGGCAGATAGTAGAACACCTCTTCTAGCGCTGAGCACATGTCCCCCATCTTCCTTTTGGGGTTTTCTTGAAATAAACTTTTTTGAATTTTTCCACTCGACCATGCTGAAATACGGCCAAAGCCATACCTGCGCAGGAAAGCTCGCCCCTCCGCGACGTCTCCTCAGCAATTTCTACTCCAACACTACTCCCAAGGCCGCAGAACAAAGTGTATTGTTGGCTCTGACAAGGAAAAGCAGCGGTGATCACTTGTCACTCCAAACGACAAGCTTCTCCTTGCGCCACCAATAATTTTTTGTGCGACTGTTGATGCAAAAGTGACTGAAAGCATGAGCGCAATTCTTGAATTTTACTACAAGAGGCACGGTGAAATCACGTGCCTTGTGACGCAAGAATTCCAAGTCGCGTGGATCATGTCTCACGAGATTTCAGAGTCACCTTCGTCATGTGCGCTTGTTACTCGCCTTGAACGCCCGTCGGTCTGGAAGTGATCACACTTGTGTTGTTACTGCGCTCAAGAACACGATGACCGTGTTGTAGGCCTACGAACCGGGACTTTCCCTGACCATGTAAGTCGAAGACCAGTGAAATGATGATGCAATCACATTCTTTATGACGTAAGAAATCTCTCATGCAGTTCACGCGACAAGTTCGTGCAGCCAGTGCTGCTCGCGTGCCCATGCCAGTCAACACAAAGCGACCGAGCTAGCAGCTTTTGTCGAGCATCGACATGAAAACAAGGGACTTTTACCGTTGGACTATGTTCGGATTGCAGGAGGTAAGTGTGAAAGATGAATAACTCTCCATGCTGTACGTGGGGCATATTTCAACGGCTTGCTGCCATTGCAACACTCCTAGGACAGTTTGTGAGGGTTCTCAGTAGATCAAGCAGGAAATACTGTTCATCTTACCTCGCGGCCATCATGGTCTGTTCCGAGTAGCGTTCCAGTCACGTTCGCGATCGATGGCCGCGTGTCGTGATCCAGGAAGCGTCATCCTACGTCACAGAGCACGCGATCTCATCGTGCATCTTGCAATAAAATTCAAAAACTGCGCTCAGGCCTTCAGTCACTTTTGCATCAACAGTCGCCCAAAAAATTATCGGTGGCGCAAGGAGAAGCTTGTCGTTTGGAGTGACAAGTGATCACCGCTGCTTTTCCTTGTCAGAGCCAACAATACACTTTGTTCTGCGGCCTTGGGAGTAGTGTTGGAGTAGAAATTGCTGAGGAGACGTCGCGGAGGGGCGAGCTTTCCTGCGCAGGTATGGCTTTGGCCGTATTTCAGCATGGTCGAGTGGAAAAATTCAAAAAAGTTTATTTCAAGAAAACCCCAAAAGGAAGATGGGGGACATGTGCTCAGCGCTAGAAGAGGTGTTCTACTATCTGCCGGTGTATAGTTCTGGCCAATTGAGGACGTAGCTGGCTGTTTTGCCAGCGCTTGTAAATTGGCTATTTTCAAGACGATCATTTGTGGCGTCAGGGGGTGATGGACCTCGTCTTCTGGGATCCTGGCGTGGCTAAGCGGTACCGCTCCAGGAACTCTTCTAAGGTGAGGCAATGTTGGCTTGATGGAGTTTTGTTCATAGCTTGTTCGTATACGCTGTGGCGTGACTCGTTTCTAGACCCATAAATAATGTGATATTTCGGCCATTTCTGAGGGGTATCCAAATTTCAAGGTTCCCTTCAGAAACTTTTTCAAGGGCTTTGCACAATCGATCCACACCCCAAAGGGAACATACCTGCAAATTTGGAGCGAAATCGGAGAGATCCACTTGCACACATACTTTGGTATTCTCAGACATGCTCTCTTAAGCCTTTAACCCTTTGACTGCTGTGAGATACGGCTGCCATGGCTAAGTACCAGCGAAAACGGGTGATTTTTTACTGAAAACACACCACATGTAAAAGACCGTAACTCGCGCACCTATTATCCGGATTTAATGGTCTTTGGCTTCCTGGAAAGCTACTGCAACAAGGAGAACGATGAGCTGAAGCACCAGTCTTCACAAGGCTGGAGACGAGCTTTAGAACTAAGCAAATTCGTCCCAGTCGGATATTTGGATTTTTGAAATTGCGTGCATTTTGACTGAGTTACGATCATTTGAAGTTTCCCATTTGGGTGCTTCGAATTCGACCCATTCATGTACACATTGGCTGGTAAAGAGTTAACACTGTATTCTATAGTTGAGAAACTTTACGAGACCTTTGAACATCCTCTATTCTGCTGCCTCTAATACATATGTTCGGTACAAGTGTGCAATGTAGTGTACTTCCTCCGCGTCATTAGAATTGTCGCTTCCCAGAGCGATTTTTCGAATTTATTTTGTCCACTCGAAGGGCAAAGAAATCAGCTAGAAATTGAGGTAGAGCATTGTCGACGGACCAAGCTTTAGTTTGTGACCCCCCCGCTTCGCTGCACTTGCAGCTAAGGTCGACGTCTTCATCAGAGTTTGAGGCAGACCCTTCAGCACTCAACAATACGCTGAACAAGACGCATGGTCAAATTCAGGTCAAGAAACTTCGTTTTCAAGCGATCCATATCCTCATGCCTCCAGGTGGCAGGCGATCAAGGCAAGCTAGCATTTTTCAAGTACACTGTAACGACCTTCCAGCGGGACGGGGTAAGCAGTTTCGCACCTTCTTTCCTTGGCAAGCGCTTCGCCGATTTTGTTGGTGTTTTCAGACCTGCTACCTTCGCAGCAACATGTGCCACAAGTAGCGCATTTTAGGAATTTGAGACCGCTTTGTTCTTGCCATCGTAACCTCAGCATTTCGCACTCAGGAGAGATTCCAGGATTCTTATACCTGAGCTTGCAGTCTTGATAAATGCCCACGCGAACGATGTGGGACGGCACGAACTCCAGAAAACAAAATGCACTCTGGGGCAGAATAATGCGGAGCGCGATGAATTTGCTTGGTGCGGAAGAGCGCTCCGACAAAGTCCGAGACCACAACGGCTTCAGTGACAAGTAGATATTGCGCAGGAAGGGTCGCACCAGTGTTCGAACACAGAAAACAGCGATTCCGACAGTCTGACTAAGACGAGCCAAGTCTCAACTATTGTGATGTGCGAAGCGACAATTTTAATGACGCGGAGGAAGTACTTTGAAAAGACTTCCAGGATACACATTGAACTGAAGCACGTGCGTCAAAGCAACATTATGTTGCTTGTGATGATACAACCTTCGTAAAGCCTAGTTCACATTCGACGCAACGCCGACGGTACGGGAGGGCTGGGGTGAGCTGTAAAATCCTGTACGATTCGTACGACACGACATGCAGCAGTCGTTGCGACGTTCAACGTCGAACGGCGCGAGTCATAAGGCACGGTCCGTGACGGGGTGACTTTCGGACCTAATTTCTCGTTTTTCGGGACTTCTTTTCAATTTATTTCTCCTTGAAAGAAGCGGAATCAAGTTCACAATATCAGTGTTTCATGAAGACCAAAAAATTAGCCCTGAAAGTTGTGACATTCAAATAATAGCCCCAGGAAATGATAGAATAGTTCGTCTGTCACGCTTCTGAACTATCCCTAAATACAATTACTGACATGAGATCTTATGTTGCTAAAATTCAACTCAAGTCGTGCTAGCCATTCTGTGAGTTATCATGGGAAGCGCAGTGTTCGAAATGGGAAAAAGTCCAAGTACGAATCGGGAGTAGTCGGCGCACGACGCCGTCTCCTGTTCACACTCGAATTGCAGCCGTTTTGTACGCTTGCGTCCCCGTCTACGCCCGTCTACGGTATGAAAAGTTGGATCGATCCTACTCTTCCCGTCGCTTCCCGATCTGTACGGTTGCGTTCCCGTTCCTGGTGTTCACATTGGACGCCGTCAGACCGTCCCGTCGCTTGCCGTCGATCCTTACGTCGCGTCCCGTCGCGCCCCGTCGAATGTGAAGTAGGCTTTTCCCGTATTGTACAACTATTGCTTTGCCCGTTGTCCACACTACTTTTCCCCCTGTCTGGTCTTCTTTCTTTGACTGTTTTGTTTTTGTTCTCTCTCTCTCTCTCTCTTTCTTTCTTTCCTCGTGCTAGTTGGAGAATTCGTTGATGTTGGTTACCGCTCTCAGCCCGCACATTGGCTATGACAAGGCTGCATCAATAGCAAAGAAGGCCCACGCTGATAACCTCACCCTCCGTCAAGCTGCTCTTGAGCTTGGATTAGTCACCAATGAGGTATTTGATGAGATCGTGCGTCCGGAACTCATGCTTGGACCTTCACCGCGCCAGGCATCATGATCAATTGTTTTGGTAAGCAACTGGCCGTGTCCATCTTGGGGAAGTAGTCAACAGAATTAGGAGAGAATAGGAATCGACTTGGAGTCGCTGTTCCATCCTTGCTGTAATATAGCAACCGTTCATTCGATCAGCCGAATGGTGCTGGCAGGTGTAGAAATGTGCAAGACTGCCACCACTGTGCTCAGTGAATTCTAGTAGATCCCTGCCAACGTGCCCTCTGTTCAGTGCTGCTTCCGCTTCAACATATATTGGAAAGCATATTGCAGCAATTTGTCTGCAAAGTTGGAACAAAGTGTAGTTGCTGGAGCAAGACGCAGCAGCAGCAGCAGCAGCAATGGCGTTCTACGAAGAACATGGTAGCTGCAATACCATAGCTGCATTTCTTAGGAGGCTTTCCAGGCAAGCTCAATGATAGCTTGTTGCTTTCATTTGGCTCGGAAGCTTGTGTTCCCCGTAGCATCGGTAAATAGTGTAGTGGCATCCATGACCAGTGAATCATTGGAGTCCCAACTGAGCTTTAGTCCACATCTTTTCTGCATGCGCATGTATTGGATATGTCTTTGCCCTTGCTTGTTTTGCATGTATTGGATATGTCGTTGCCCTTGCTTGTTTTCAGCTTGATTTGTCTAGCTGATCAATTTTTTACTCCTGGATTTGTTTGTTCCTAATTGTGAGTTTTATTGGCTGTACGCATATGCGCATCTCTCTCTCTCTTTCTCTCTCTCTCTCTCTCTCTCTCTCTCTCTCTCTCGCTCTCTCTCTCTCTCTCTCTCTCTCTCTCTCTCTCTCTCTCTCTCTCTCTCTCGCTCTCGCTCTCGCTCTCGCTCTCTCTCTCGGCTCCCTATGAATATTGTATTTGTCTTGCTTACAACGGTCTACAACCGTGTATTAGTTGCTCTTATAACAAGTTACTTACTGGTTTTACCAAGACTTACTACACAGTCCCATTCTGTTTGTTGTGGCTTTTATGCTCTTGCTTGGTGCTACATTGTACATGCACTACATCTTATTCTGTAAGACATCGGTAACAGCAACACCGTACTGGATGGCTCTGACTCATCAATGTGTACTTGACTTTTGTCATAGTGAAGTAGCATTGCATTTGGTGAAACTGCAGGGCATAGTGCACAATGGAGTGCAGTACATGTAACAGTATCAGCGGAAGAACAATCACAATCCACTACATATACTAGTACCTGATTATCTTGGTATCGATGCACCGTGCCCAGCACATAGTTGCACTGTTGAGTTTACCGGATTTCTCTAATAGAGACATATCTCCGATTAGGTACACCCGTCTTTTCTCCTTGAAGAAAATGAAAATGACTTTACCAGTGGAATTAGACAGACATGTACAAAAATATACTTGAAGATCTCTGATGCTGTACGGGAGTTGTATAGACACTACAACTCCCTGGTGCTGCACAAGGAGACATATTCATCAACTTCATTCAAGAAGTTAAGGGCCATTCGTCCTCACCGACTCATTATTTGAGAACCGGTGACCTTGTGTACAGGTGTATTAAAGTAAGCAGCAAGGACGCATGGCCTTCGGTGTTGCACTGAAGTGTACGTCAGTCCATATTTGACTCACCGCAACTTTAAAAAACTGTGCATCATGCATTGCTCGCTTTCTGTACATCCAAGATTTAGTTTAGAAGCAGCCAGATCATGCCTTGTGGTCGCCGTCCAGATCTTCCTTTTCCTGCAGCATGGAGCTGGAGAAAGGGTATCACCTGGACCAGTGTCAACTGAACCAGACTACTATGCAGGGAGTCGTAAAATACCAATATTTTTACGACTCCCTGCTACTGCACATTTTGCCATGATTGTACTCAGTGCTCAGTCTCACGGATCGCGGAGTGGGTACTGAATGCGTGAAGGCGGTGCATGGCATGCATGCAGCATGCATGACTTCACTAGCAAAGGCAACACTGAACAGCAACACACTGCGCCCATGCCATCCATGCTGTAGAGAGCTTGATTCAGTGTGAAAGAGGGCCAACAAGAGGCTCTTGAAAAGCTCCTTGAGTGATAACTTCACACCCGGTACCCTCAGCCTGGTGGCAGAAGAATACAGGACTCCGACCCTGCTCAGCAAAATAACCTGTCACTCAGAGTAGGACATGTATAATTATTATGTTGAAGGGCTGGGTTTCCAGTTCAACATTGCCATTGGTAGATCTACTATAAGAAAGGGTTTGCTCCCCACACCGGAGCAAGTCATCGCCGAAGTCGCAACCACTACTTAGATCTACTATATTAATAGTATACTAGTCTACATGACACTCTCTTGCAGTCTTGGTACAGTACCGGAATATGCGGTCTGTTGATTCTGATCGGCGGATGGCAGTAGGATTGGCAGATTGGGAGATCCAAAACCGGTAGTTGGCGGTACCGCACCTGCGGTACATGTATTGGTTGCGCATACCGGAATGATTGTTTCATCGACGACACCCCAAGGCCAGGGCGCGTTCGAATTGTCACTCTTTGACTTTTCGAGGAGTTTCGTTTTCCTCAATCCTCATGGTAGCTTTTATTCTCGTGCTATTTAAACTCAACCCACGATGTACTAGTAGCAGTGCGCGACGAGGATTGTTCAGCGTTTTCACAAACAACCGTACCGGTACATACATGTGTCTACATGTATACGTAAAATGGAGAATGTGCATTGTTTCGGTCAAGTGCCACCCACATGGCCCGATGATTTCAATCCGTCCTACTTGAATCTACATGTACTGGTATTATTCCCCTGGGAACATTCATTCGACTCTGCATGCTGCCCTGCACAGGCTGCAGCCATATCCAGCTGCAAAACTAACTAACCACACTCCACAGTGCCTGTGCAAGTAATAGTTAGTTAGTAAAATAACTACGTTCATGGTCTTCACAGTGTCAACATCTGCTGTCACATTGGTCAACAAGTTACATACATGTACACCAAGCCGGCCAGGCCCAGCAACTGGGCACAGGTCACACGGCTACTGGAGACTGGATGGTCCACGCCTCCTCCACATGACGGTATGTGGACGCAGCACACACGGCACAGAATTAAAATAAAATTGTCATGTAGATCGCGAGTCCGGTAGTTAATGTCCTTGGCTTGTATCCTGAACTGAAGTCGAGAAGAGTGAAGAGTCGCAGTGGGAGCTCAAGTGACTCAATAACTGACCATCTGCAGCGCAAATACCAGCACTAGTGGAATAGTGCACTGACTACACCCCACATCATGGCACATGCACCGGACAGCAAATAATCGGAGTGACATGTCGACATGTGACTGTGAGTAATTCAATCTCCTAGATCCTAGACCTAGATCCTCCTCCTCTCACTCAGACTCAGTCTCACATGCACAGCGGGCCTGCCTCATTACGCATGTTTTTGAGAAATGACTTCAGTGATACGCGCGCCAGTGATACTCGTAGTGCAATAGACTACTACTCAGACTAGTGGCGGGCGGCACTACGCGGTATACTGTACCAGGTATACTGCAAGCGGATATGCATTGTGCCAAGACTAACTACATGTACGTGTACGTGTGTGTACGACTAAGTCTAATTTAATTTTTTTTTTAACTTTATTAGGATGACCCAAAGGCAAATCGCCTAAGACTACTAGTAAGTAAGAGCACGAACTAACTACTTCATGTACATTGTACTAGTGGTAGTGCTCTTGATAGTATTAGTATGCTACAGTGTACCAATTTTATTTTATAACCGCTGGTGTCTGGGGGCATATTTAGTACATGATTGTACATTGTACTACCTAATCTTTTCGTGCGAAGTAACGTTAGTTTACTTTACGACCTTGGTGGTGAGTTGGTCGTCCTGGGGATAACAACCATAAGAATCTGATCATTGATTGTTGATACGGCTAGACTTACATGTAGGCGACTACCAACTCACCGCCACCCTAGGCCCTGTGCAGAACACACGGTGTAAGTGGTACACCGCTAGAAACTACAACTTACAAGTACACTGTACTTAGAAACTACTCACTCATGAGTCATGTGTTAGAAGCTCCGAGACTGGACCGAGAGTCTCACATGCACACTGACTAGGTCTTGCAAATAGCCAATAACTTGAATAAGGGCTATTTTTAAATTAGCCCCACATACATGATTGTACTCTTGCTGATATTGATGGCAGTTTTGAGTCTTCTGACACAAGGAAAGCCACACACGTACACACTGCTACATGTAAATGACTACAATGACATGAAGAGTACATAACCCCCAGGGGGGTTATGTATGTACTCTTGTGTACATGTACGTGTATGTAGATTGCCCGGAGCAGTGTTCTGTGTAGCCTAGTTGGGCTAAAAGTTCTGAACATACATGACTATCAAGTTTATTATAGTAGACAACGAGTCCTTCTTGGTTCGAGTGTCCGCACCCAGGTGCAGTCATTGTTGCTCTGACCCGCAGAACTGCTGAGAGCTGAATGAAGCAAACTATGAAAAGCACCTGTCGGCATTCACAACTTGAGTACCTGCCAGGCAGTAAGCACCACCTCCAACTAACTTTTACTTGTGCAAGACGGCCCTGAGGCCTGGGCCCACACAGAAGTACACGCGTTGTACTGTTTTCTGCACGAACTCTCGAGGTTAAATACAATGCCCATCATCGTAACGTTTAGATCACTAAAGTCTTTATCCACGGGCTCGCCCAGGTCGTGAGGTTACCCCACGAGTTTCGGTCTGCCCCAAATAAAGCTACATCAGAGTCTTCTCCTCAAAGTCTTCTCCTGATTACGACTGGCCGGATGCCACAGTACATGTACTTGCTCAGCAAATTACACAGACAGCAATGAGAAGGAGCTAAGAAGAACTAATAACACGCACCAAGAAGAGTACCGGTATGTACTAGCCGCATGATCAGTAGTATTAGTAGTCACTATTAGTAACATTTGGAGCTCGCACTTCCTACCCAGTGACTGTGTCATGGACATGTACAGTCATAATCCACTAAGCTACAATTATGTACAATCATGTACATGATTTGTAGTAATACCGGGTAGTACTAGTAGCTGTCCGCAGATGAGTGGAAATACAATAAATAGTGTACATGTACAGTGAAACATTATATTACTGACAGGCCGACACTCCCACACCAAGGCCATTCGTGATGGGTCTGATGCTATTAAAGCACAGCTCCTCTCAGACCTATTGGCTAATATGAGGGTATCCTTGTGCTTCCTACTCAATGTAATTTCAGAAATCGAGACGGAATATCAAGGAATGCAGAGAGCCTAGTGCTGCTGCCCTCCGAACTCCGGCGAGCAGAGATGTAGAGTTGATATGAGTGCGATAAGGAATCTGGTGGTAACGCTAGCTTCTACCATTACGGGCACGTATGGGAACAACATACAACATGTCGATGTACAGACAGTCAGTGTATGCTGGGTTCCGTGATGTCCTACCTACACTTGTACTAGTTGTAAAGTTGTACTTGTAGTAGGACATCTCCAGGACTGTCTACCGAGAGCCGTTCTGGCGAATGTTGATTGTGCGTACTGTATACTACATGGCATACTACCGGTACATGTCATTGAAAAACCGATACATGTACAGACTCGTACTCGAATCGTCCACAGCACAGATATTTTTAGAGAGTCTGATCACAGGGCATTATGGTCAGAGGTTTTCCTTGCTAGCCTTGGTTGGCTATAAAAAGTTAAAAACCCTGCAATCGCCACGCAAAGTGGTCATTGGCTGCCCCAGCTTGGAAACTATACTAAAAGTAAAACTAGGTTCTCCACGACGTCATACTCCACGAATATGAACGAACTAGTAGTAACTGAAAAGCGTCCGGACCCGGGGTACCCTCTCCTCGAGAACATGATTTTCGGGTACAGACCTTACCGCCACAGGAAATACAAGATTCAAGAAGTACATGACTTGTAATTGTAACTACGGTAAGCAGCATTGTAGCTGTCATATGCGATATGCACGTGTACTCGTCGCGTAGTCTGTAGATCTACATTTTTTCTGGACGCGCTCCTGAGACTGATCTGACTAGACTGTACTGTACTCGTACTGGTCGAGCCTTGGTCACGTCAGGCGCTAGGCGCTAGGCGTTGCTAGCGCATTTACACCAAAATTTGCAAAAAGCCGGCCAAGTCCACGACTACCCGGCCTTGTTGTGGCATGCATGCTGGATTGCTGCGTGATCGTCGACACTCTCTACTCATAATCATGAGTCATGTCATATCAGTGCCGAATGTTTTCAACACAGCACCACTACGCACTAGCGCTGGTTGAGGGCGCGTCTGGGTTTTTGAAAAGCAGCTCAGACTCAGTCGCCCTGGACTGGAGCTCTTCTGTCGTTCTGATCTTTACTTGGGCTCGTCGTACTGCCTACTGCCTGCTGGCAACTACAGTGTACTAGTAAATCTCTTTCCTTCCTGACCGGTCCATTGTTGGTTTCCAACGTTATCCGGATCTCCGGTCCAGCGCCGATTTCACTCCGAAATCTCCCAGCTTGGCCTAACTAAAACTTTAGCACATCTTGCGTCCGCACCGCACTGTACTGCACGCAGAGGGCAGTGCCGCCGGTGGGTAGTACGGTAGTACGGTGGTAGTGTTTGTGGCACATGCAGGTGGCACCGTTTTATTTTTATTTTACACACCCAGGTGAGAGGAGCGGGTGCTGTTTCCAGCGATCGACTTGGCACAAGTGAGAGAATTAGCGCTTATCTTCTGGCCTGGGACGCCTGGTGAAAGCGCTTCTGCAACCTCGGATCGTATTTGGAGGGAGGTTGAGTGCGACTCGACACAGAAGGAGAGAGATTGCCCCGTAATAAAAAAAACAATAATGTCGGAGGGCCTGAACACCTCGTTTAGCGCAGAGAGTGCAATAGATACAAGCCGGGCGTTGGACGAGACCCGTCGCTGGATTGAGGTATGTAATGTGCTGTTTACGTGGGTATGTTTCTTGACGAGAAGAAGCGGTCACCTGGTCACTGTCTCTTCTGTACTCTGGCGCGTGTCCCCAGCCTGGCACACTCCAAGTAAAGTTATTCGTGTTTGCTTTCGTCTCGCTTGCTAGGAATGCACCGGGTCACAATTTCCGTCCGACGACTTCAGACTTTCGCTTAGAGACGGCGTACTCCTGTGCAAGTAAGGACTTATGCAGTAGCATTCTTCTGTCCTGCTTCTCTTTCTCTCTCTCCTCTTACATACTTTTAGCTGTCGTAAATTGCTCTTTTTTGATCTGTGGGTGCTTGTTTGCCTTCGCTGATGAAGCATTTGCTCGGTACGATAGTTGTAAGGCGTTTCGTTGACCAGCCGACCCACGCCAGTGAACATTGTTCCTGTGTCGCTCGCTTCCGAAGAGAATGCCTTGCCCCTCTGCATTCTGCGCCATGGCCGAGCACGGGTCGGTGCGTCCGGCTCGCTCAGGGCGAAGTGAGGCTTGATGTGATAATGATTTCGCAATAATGTTGGCATGTAATCACTAATCAAGTTGAATGGCACTTCATGATGCCTTGTTGGGGCCTCTTCTCCACAAGTCTCTCTCTTGCTAACCTTTCGCCGGTCTTTCCCTGTCGCTTTTCTCCATGCAGGTTGGCCAATGTCATTCAAGAGGGCAGCGTGAACCTGAAGCGCGTTCAGACGGGAGCGCAGGCTACCTTCGTATGGCTTGTAAGTCCGTGGAATCGTCACAGTATGATTGTCCCGTTTTTGCGGCGGCCGCGTTTGGAAAACTGCGTTCCCCATCCCGCCTTCCAGGGTATGGACGGGTATGGTGTCCTTGGGATACCGGCCATCGCACCAGTGATGGTATTGTCCCATCCCTGTGGGTCATTATTATTCTGTGTTCACGATGTTCAGATCAGTATGTTCTACCGCCAAGGCTCTAGTGCAGTACTGCCAGTACTAGTACTAGTAGTGGTTCAACTATAAAAACAAGAAAAACAAGGGTAATACTAATAGGTACAGCTACTGCAGTAGCGGCAGTACATGGCTGGCAGTAAGAGTTAGTGAGTTACTGTGTGCACTGACCATGTAACTTGTTGTTCTTCCTGGCATTCCAACTCGCCCACGCAAACCTGAATACAGTAGTACTACAAGTATGTGTGTGCTTCTTTGGGTCTAAATTTAGCCACCAGTCGACTACACATTGAAGTAACATCAAACTGGACCTATTGGAGTGGCAAACAAGCACTAAGCCTTCCACTGTGCCCTGGTTTTGCCATTCTGCCCTTGGATTCCCCACTCCATACTGGAAATGATAACCTATTTGCATACATGGCCTTAGATGTACACCCCCCCCCCCCCCCCACACACACACATACACACGCAAACACACATGCACACACACATACACACACACACGTGCCGTGTGCACAACAAGACACTGGGCAGCACCAGTGTGTGTTCAGCCACACTGGGCAGGTCCTCCTTGCAGTCCAAAGTCAGACATACTAATTACTATGTTTGGACTAGTACGTGTGGATCAGCTTTTGGCCTTGGTGTGTGCTGGAACTCTGTGTGTCTGTCTTCCTGCAGGAAAACCTGAACTACTTCATCAAAGCTTGCCAGCAGCTAGGCCTAAAGGGTGGCCAGTTATTCGATCCCACTGAGTTGATTGCAGAGGACCACAGCGAAGTGAAAATACAGAGGTAAATCACAGTGTACAGTGTACCGGTAATGCGGACATTGGCTGTGTTGAGGAGTGCATGCTTTCGTTTGCGCTCGGAGAACTGTTTTTTTTTAAAGTATTTATTGCGCCCACGCTGCTGTCAGAAATATGCTGCTTTCTTCCACTATCGCTTTGCATTCTTTGGACACTCGCGGCCTAACAGTGTGCCTTTGGTCGGATAACCATGCGGTATGGTCGGAGAGCAGCATGTCACCGTGGAGCAATCATGTTGATGGCCGGCGGCTTGGGTAAATCCATGTATGTACACGTATACGCGCCCGTCACCACGTTATTTGGCAACCCCATCGATGCAGGAACAGACCCACGACAGCTAGTATGTATGACATAGTGCTAGTATGTATGACATAGTGCTAGTATGTATGACATAGTGCTAGTATGTATGACATAGTGCTAGTATGTATGACATAGTGCCGCTGCATACACAGTCCATTCAAATGTCCAGTCAGTCTCGAAATATTTTAACAAAGTATGTAGCACCTAGTGCCCCTGAAAATTTGACCTGAAGTGACATTGGCAGTGTTTGAGTGCTTCATAAAGGTTACATGTATTGCTGGGGAGTGATAGAAAGTGCAACGTGTGAACGTAGGTTGGGCATACGCCTTGAAGCAGCAGGAAGATGTGCCCTGGGTGTGAATGTATTGTTCCATCATTTGCGCATGAAAACATAACACTGACCTAAATGAGTCACTGTCTACATGTACATAGTTACTAAAATTAAGCCAGTCAAATTGTACAGAGCCTGTTACTCAAACAACAGTTGCCAGCAATAAGTGACTCATTCAGGGAATGGGTGCCCTCCCCAGTGCGTCCACTGACTTGAAATGGCTGCACCTTTCCACACAACAAAACACGATGTGTATGACTATGCACCAACTAACGAAGGCACCTTCCTCCGAAATTCTACAAGGTCAGCAAAATTAGTTTCCGGGATGGCTACTCTCTTGCTATAAAAGTGAAGTTCGCACGTCCACGTTGCAACCAGCTATACAATTATTATGGAATGCCTATAAAAAAGCATTCCCCAGAGACTCCTGATGACATGCTGGGAAGTCTAGCACACAGCTCCACCACAGTAGTATGTTCTGGAGTTGTTGTGGATCACACCCAACATGTCAGATGTGTTGTTTTGCTGCTCTTTTCTCTCTTGATTGTAGCGGTAAGAGAACTGAGCAAGAGCGACGTGTGCGCAATGTAAGTGTTATGTAAGTGTTGTATCTGACAAATTTACGTACTACAACATAAGTACTCTGCTATGCCCAGTGCAGGCTGGCATGCACTGCATCCACTGCAATGTTTCCATGGCCCGGGTAACACGGGCTGTGCCTTACCCTTCTACTGTCAGTCTAGTGGTAGTGCATGCAAATGATCAAAGATAACAGGATGCTCTCTTGGCGGAGAGTATACCAGAGTGGCAGTTTGGTGAGGTGCACAAAGCTGACCTAGTCCTCCAGCACCCTTTCTACTGAGGCAAAGTGCTTGTGAAGTACGTCCATCAGCTCACATCATAACAAGGAGACATTCCAATTGGAACACTGGTTCATTGACACCATGCTATGGGGAAACAGTCCTTGTGGATGCAACCATGCATCTGCGCCCCATCAACGTGTTTGGCAACTGTCATCAGGTCTGTAATGCTTCAACTACCCACAGATGAATTGCACTTTTGCATATTATATGAATTGACAGGATAGTTCAGAAAAGTTCCTTTCCCTTTTCACATCTCTCTAACTTGAGTCCCTTCCATTTTCACAATTAAAAACAAAAATGTGAAAATGTGAAAATAAACAAGACACGTTACTCCTTCTCAACACTCTTAATAACATTACATGGTCTCGTTGCGGACATTGTTCATGGCACGATTTTCTTCCTAGGTTGCGATCACGGTATACTGGCTTGGCAAGAAGGCCAATAGGATCAAGACGTTTGAAGGGCCCAAGTTGAACCTGACCGAATTCCAGAACATTGTTCCGGTTAGTAATACTTTGATGTAACTCTTGAAGCAGTGGTTGAATATTTAGCTACCAATACACTGGTAGATCAATGGCTGGCTGGTGTTGACATTTTGGAAGTTGGCAGCAATCTCTACTTGAAGCACTGAATACTTACGGACTCACTGTGTTTGCCTTCTAACCTTTTTTTCTGTTCCCCGCAGTCTGCTGTTCACCATGAAGAAGACAACCGAGAGGTGAGTAGGACTCTGTGTGAAGTGATAAATGGGCAAGGCCTGTGGGGTTGATTGCAAGTATAGGACAGTGTGCTGTGCAGCACCGGGTCTGTGAAATATCCGCTCAGTGCATGGACAGCTCTGCATCTTTTCAATAGCAGCACGTTCTTATGCTTGGGGGAGAATGGGTACTGCACCCCATAATGAAGGCTTACGTCAATTCCAACTGACATGTAGCTACCACTAGTTTGAAGGAAAGTTGCAAATGGGAAATTCTGAAGAAAAAATTGACTGCCACCACCTGGACTCAAACCAGGGACCTTCGGCTCAAGGCCAGCAATGCTCTACCACTTAAGCAATGGTGTACATGTAAGCTATCTTTGCACTTTCCTTTGTCTTACTTTTCTCTGTTGCGGTTACCATTAGGCTACGCCGGAGCACGACCCAAGCCCTGCACCAGACAAGCAGCAAGATGTGTTGGAGGAGATTATCGAGACTGAGGTCATCACAACCGTCACGACAGAGGTGCGTCGCGTCGTCAAGCTCTCGCCAAACATGCGCGAGGTAGTGCGCGAGGACGTCAGCACTAACACTGCCGTGGAGGAGAGGCCGCGCACCATCACCAAGCGCTCGTCGGCCAGTGAACTTCGGTCTGCTTTCATGAAGCGTAGCTCCTCCAGCGACCTCAATCAATCCAGTGCTAGCAGATTGCGCGTCGGATCTCGTTCTCGAAACAGTGGTGACATGACCAGCGCCCGGCCAAGATCAGGTGCACCTGAAGCTCAGGCAGATAGTGAGGTGAGGCATGTAGGCACTGACGTCAGCCATCATTGAACCTGTAGCGATTACTAGTGCATGCATCTACAAACTTCTTTGCCATCTGTAATCTCAACCTGCTGCCCAATTTGATGGACACATGCAGCAGTGCAATTTGTAGTGTCAGACTCTTCCCCTTGGGTTACTTCGTTGGAATGTTTAGAAGTGGTCTGCTTTCAGAACTGCAGTGCGTTACTTAGTGTGCTACACAATGAGCTTGTTACCTGGACTATTCTTTGTATGTGTGTGGGTGCGTGCGTGCATGCATGTGTGCATAATATACAGAGCCTTGCTCTTTGTCTAGACCTGGGTTCAACTGAAACAGAGTTTGGCTTCACATTGGAGGGCGCCGAGAAAGGAGTTCCCACCAGTATTGCAACGGTGGAGAAAGGTAATTACTGCCACTGCTGCAGTCATCAGCGGGTGGTGATAGGGTAGATGATTTATGAATGATAAAGGTGCATTCTGAGTCTTGTGTTCATTGCACATAGCCTCTTTCTTTCTTCAAATCATTTCATTCTGCACAAATTCATGGAACAGCATGATGGATCAGTGCCGAAATGCACATGTTCATACGTTAAAATTAGTGTTCTACATCCCTCATGTCTGATTTTAGTGCTGCTGCATGTGATGAGTGTTGTCTCAACAGGGTCGTGCAGTATCCATGCTTCCTCAGCTTCACTATCAGCATCGCCAAATTGCCTCCTATCTCACTTGTCTTATTTTCCCCGTTCAGGATCCTCTGCCGATCGTGCCAACCTGCATGTGGCTGATAAGGTGTTCTGGGTGAATGGAGAAAGTGTGGCCTTTTCAAGCCTCAGCGAGGTGGAGGCACAGGTCACATTTATTGTAAGAAGTTATCTATACTGTAGCAATACTGCCTAGTCAGGGTGGCGGGGAGGGGTTGGTTTGAGCTGCACCTCTTCATGTAAGCTCTTAATTGTCACAGAAATAGTCGTAGTCTCCCGCACCAGATTGGCATAGCTGTAGGTGTACTTTGCAGCACCAGAAATGCTGACAAACTACATAAAGAATATTATGGATGAAATGGGTTGATTTAGCCTTTTTAACTATCAAAATATCGACTAACTCCAAGTTAGGTGCAGGAAAACTATTCCACTGTACAGAGTTCAGGTTACACATGACAGTTTCTGTATCTGCTGCGCCACTCTCAACAATGTCCCGCCGGGCTGATGACAGCCCCAGGTGGTAATTCTGTGCAAGTCCAGCTGTTCTTTACAACACGTCCACCTCTTGTGCTAGGCAACTTGATCATAAGTTGTTAATGCTGATAGCCACTGGCCATTAGCCAGTGTGAAAGAATTGGATCATCTGAGATCACTCAGTTTGGGGCATGCCTAGAATATTCACATGCACTGCAGGACACCACAACTGCTCGGAGACTACTGCAAGAGCAGTACTGGTGTAGATTCTGAAGCTTGAAAGTATGGCTTTTGCTGTGGCTGTATGCTTGTTTGTTACTCAGTGTAAGAAGGAGAGGGTGATAACGCTGGGTATCAGACGGCTCATCCCAACCAAAGTCCCTGAGCAAATTCCAGGTAAGGCATGTGAGCAATTCCAGTGCTGCTGCTTTGTGCTCGCACTGTGCACTCTATCCTGCACTGAACAAAGGAGGAAGTGAATGTGAGAATCGATAATTGCATAGCTCATCAGTGTCAGGGTGCCAGTGTTGTACAGCATCGCCCATGTATTTCAGCACGCTCCTGTTTGATTTCTTCTCTAGAATCTGCCGTGGAGGCCGAGCCAAGCTCGCCACCCCCGGCAACGAAAGTCGAGGAGGAAGCCGTAGCTATGATGGTGGCACAGACCGAGACTGGTCCCACTGATTTAGCTACTGCGCTGAAGGAGTTTGAAGACAAGGTTGAAGCAGCAGAGGTATGGTTCTGTGTTGGCTTGTGGCCTGGTAGAGAGAAAAAGTAATCATGGTGTGATATCCATATAATACTATGGTGTGACTGTGGGTGTTGGAAGTGTAGTTGCTACCTCTGAAGAGTGTAATATTGAACATGTCTATGTTGCTAGAGTGTGCCAGTGTGCCACTCCAAGCAATTGCATTCGCCAGTGTTATGCCGTTGGTTCACACTTTGGATTGGATAGTTGAGATGCTTCCACGCACCCCGGTACAGCTGTACCTCCGCGTTCCAAACGGTTCTACTTGGCTCTACGAGATTTTGTACATCTGTACACCGGGCATAAGGCCTATTGTCATGTATGATAGTTCGAGAGGTTCAGGCTGGGTGCAGTGCACGCCAACTGCATGTGGGTGTTACCATAATTCATTAATTGATATGCAGCGAAAGTGAAAGAAGTGTTACATACCGCATGGTAATTATCCTGTGTATATCTGGGTCTGTGCATATTATAATATAATTTTGGATTGTTTGTGTACGCGTGTGTACGTGTGTGTGGGCACACACCTATTTGCCCATAGGTTGCACCAGCAGCAACCCCAGAACCAGCTGCGGAAGACAGGAGTCCTGCTGCAGCGGGTGTTGCAGTGGCTGGTGTCGCAGTTTTGAGCGGCTTTTCCACTCACAATACCGGAGCACCATCGGGCTCCCCACCGGCAACTGCTAGCCGAGAGAAGGTGACGGAGGAAGCTGCAACCATGTCATTGCAATCAGACGACCAATCAACATTCACTCCTCATGGACAAGCACCGACTGCTTGCTATCCGTTGACCCGGGAGTCAGTAAGGAATGCTACGGCCAGTGTTGATTCGGTGTGTGACCGTAACGATGCATGCACTTCCAAGTAATCGATTATTGTGTTTTGCTTGTGCCAGGTACCAGCAAGAGATAAAGAGAGGTGGGTTACTACAAAGAACAGTGGTATTTTGCAACGGGTTTAGGGGTTGACAATAATCTTGGCAGGTTGGGAACACACGTCACCGATGCATGAAATAGCTAATGCTGCATCTTCAGCGAGTACAGAGGCTAAAAGTGACGTCTTAGCTAGCCATCATGAACTAAGATGAAGCCGCAATCACCGTGACCTGTCCATGTATGAAGCTGAAAAAAGCTGTAAGAGGCAAGCTGATCCAAGAAATGGAGATTCAAAGTTCTTCGAACTAGTTCATGTAGTTAGAGGAAGTATGGACATGGCAGGCCCGTCGCACCGACTTTGGAGGTGGGTCCAGGGGTCCTCCCCCGGGGAAAAATTTCAAAAATTGAAGCTGATTGCAAGCATTTCCGGGCATTTGGTGCCTTTTCAGTGTACGGTAACTACAATGAAAGTCTTTTTGATTCTACAACAAACCAAGAAGACGCTTCGATCGGGGACAAACATTACCCTCCCCGGGAAAGAAATTCAAAAATTGAAGCCAATTGCAAGCATTTCCAGGCATTTGGTGCCGTTTCAATGTAACTGCAATGAAAGACTTTTTTCTGCAACAAACCACAATCGGGGACAAGGATTTGTCACGTTTGCGCTAAGCTGCGATCATCGCGCTTTGTTGTAATGTGCTAAAAACAAAAAACGAAAAAACAAAAACAGCCGAAAAAGTGGGGCGGCTGTGACGGCCTTGCATGGTGATGGAGATGACAAGAGATGCGCTCTTCTCATGAGTACATCAACTAGACTGGTACCAGTGATAAGATGGCGTGTGTTCCTTTGACTGTGATAGGCTGCTACGGACGATACTACCAAACTTGGCCTGGCTACCGCTGCTGCTGCCGTCGTGGTGGAAACCGAATTGCCCAAAAGGTGAGTGCTCATACGGTGGTGTTGCTTGTGCAGAGGTACTCCTGTGCTAAAGTGGCCATCTTGTAATGGGGTGCGTCTAGCTTGATGGTCGTGGGTTTATTGGAATTCTGCTACTGGTGTATTACTACATGTGCTCCTGTGTGTATGTGTACGTGTGTGTGTGTGTGTATGTGTGTGTGTGTGTGCATGTGTGTGTGTGTGTATGTGTGTGTGTGTGTGCATGTGTGTGTGTGTGTGTGGTGATGTGTAGTGATGTACAACGTCGGCGGTGGAATTCGTCTAGTACTCCCCCAGGTTCTGGTCTTCAGTCTCCTGAGCCACCAGCAGATGGTAAGCATACCAAAGAAATAATGTTAAAGGACAATGTGCAGCCTGTTCTGTCACTGTGATCTGGGGATGTGGAATCACGTTTGACCACACTGATGTTAGGAATGTCTTGGTGAACATCGGTCTATTGCCTAGATTTCTTTGAGTGTTTGATGTTGCACTCTCCATGCCTGGTGTTGCACTGTTTATGCTAGGCGTTGCACTATCCATTATTAGGCCAAGATTGCAACCGTTTACCTGCTCACCGCAAGTTATATTCATAAGTTTGAGGAAATTAAAATGGGAATAGTGGAGCGGGCTTAACTTTGGCTATGATTGTTTTTTTGTTGATGATCACCAGAAGAAGATATGTCACTGGCTGCAGTACTGCGACGTGTTCAGAAGAAGCATGGTGATGAAGAGGACGCAGAAAAGTGCAAGAAGCTCGTGGCACTGGTGTCCACGCCCGGGTTCAGCGGTGTGGTGGAGGTAAGCCTGTCTCAAGTGCTATCTTGTCTTTATATTTCTATGCAGTTTGTGGACATACTGGCTGAGCCCTTGGCTTGAAGCACTGTGTACAGTCGTGTATATGTGGCCATCACCTCGTCAGTGACTCAGTATTCTGCAAAGGAGCATGTCCTACTCATTGTATATGTACAGTGGACACGGCACTGCATACTACACGTATGTGATTTGAGCACGTAGTCAGTAGTACAGCAGATGGAGCGGGAGGTCAGTGTCCATGTAGTTTGCTGTAATTCTTATCACATAGTGCACATATCTACTGGTAGTACATGTTCCATGTATTTGAATCACATTCTCTCAGGCTCACCGTGGCATTGGTAAGGCGAACGCTGCAGCTGCAAGCGCTGAGCACACCTCCCAGCCTAGTCAGACGACGGAGGAGCCAGCGTGTCCCGTGTGCCGACGTGTAAGTGCTGTCTGTGGAGTATGGTTATTGCATATACGCAACATTGAATTCATTGACGGACCCTGCTGTCAGGGCATAGCGAGCAAATGCCGACAGCGCTGCTGGAATGCAATGGTTTACTAGGTGCCATTATGTTGTATTTCTCGTATGGTCACAGGTGTGTCAATTTTGTTGCGTCATAGGGCAGTGTCACCCATGCCCAGTGAAGCAACAACATGGATGTATTGTCCGATAATTAGCAGTGCGTGCAGTCCTTGATTCCCAATAAACGCCTGTCGTGTTGTTGTTCACTATGTTGCATCAGACGAATCAGGCTGTCAATAGCAGTGACAACCAGCAAGATGCTGACGACTCCGCAGCACTGGCTGAAGTCATGGGCTCTCCACACTTCCGGGTAGGTGACGTTGGCCAAGAATCCCCTGGACTGCTGTCTGTTGTACTAGCTAGACCTTGTGTGTGACGTGCTGAGTGCCTGCCTTTTAACCCATTCAGCGCTACTGGGCCTTGCCTATGGTACTCTGCATATAAACTGCTAAAAACAAGGCAAATAGAAAGTTCTAAAACTCCAGGGTTCTGGCAACTGGGTCCTCAAATATTTTGGAAATGATTGCCAAGACTATCAACCACAGGGTGACAGAATCGATACAGTCCCCGAAAAGAATAGCGCTTCACAATAGGGGACGCAAGTTTGCTCAAATTGCGTGAAATGCGCTAAATGTGTGCAATTGCAGCTGAAAGATCGCTGAAAAGAGAAGAAAAAAAGACGCATAGTGTTACCAAGCAGGATTCGTACCGACGACCTATCGTACAAGAGGCAGGATCATGATCCAACTGACTAACAGTGCTTTTACACACCTGATAGGGACGGAAATCACTATATATCCCATGACGTCTATAGACGTCATCCCGCGCATGGGGGGCATTTTCAATGACGTCTATAGACGTCATCAGCGTTCAATGGGTTAAATGTGTGTGTGTCTATACTGCCGCTATCACAGGCACTATGCTGGACGCATGACCAGTTGCTGCAGAAGAGGAAGCGAGAGGGTGGTGCAAATGCTCCGCCGGCGGTCACGGCTAGTTCTGCTGCATCCAGTACTACAGCCCAAGCTGTTGGTGCTGCGGCCGCGATCACTTCTCAGAGGGAGGAGCCACTGCAAGCAGCTGCTGCACAGTCCAAGCCATCTCCGAAGCCAACACATGTCGCTAATGGAACTGGAGGTGCAGCAACAGCAGCAGCGGTGGCGGCGGCAACAGGAGCGAAAGCTGCTCCACTTCCACGTATTATCATTGTGCAGAAACAGGCCAAGAAGCCATTGGTAAGGTGCTACCTCGTTACTAAATCCATGTGGCTGGTGATGAGAATGCTTGAAATGGTGTCTACACTGTTACGGAAGGCTCAAAGTGCAGTAAGTTGCATGACGATTGTACAGTACCCCAGTATGCGCACTATTTCCATTTGGTGGTCTGGTGTATGTGTGTGTGTGTCCATGCGCAGGGTGCGACAATCAGAACGGAGGATGGCAAAGTGTTTGTAGCCCGGCTTATGGCTGGCAGTTCACTTGCTCAATCGGGTAAGCTGCACGGAATGCTGTCGAACAGCGGTGTTGCATTTTATAGCACTCGTGTTCTAGGGTGTGGGAGTGTACTAGTTCCAAGTCGGCTTGTAATGCCGCCAATACCAGTGGAATGAATTATGATGTTGTCGGATCTAGGCTGAAGTACTTAGCTATGGTTTTGACGATATTGGGATGGTAATAATTTATTATCATTTATGACTTTTTACTGGCGGGCTGTGAGGTGCATGTCTTAGGCACGGTGCTCTTTTTGTATTCTACAGGTGAAATCCTGATAATTCGGACCTCAAAATGCCAGGAAAAAACTTCTAATTAGGCCAAACTAAAGAAGGTGTGTGGTTCGACTCACCCGACCGACCGTACAATTTCAGCCCGACCGTAACTTTTTTTCGGCGGGCTGTCGTGTGACGACGTACGTGGACTGAACACGTCCACGTCTACGTGCTGTGCGGCGTGAGTCTGCGGACGCAGGCGGCTCCTTTTGGACTTGACTTGTAGTTGTACTGCAGTGCAGTGCAGTGAGTGGTACGACTGCTGCCTTGTGCTGGTAGTAGAGTCTACTCGATACGCGTATACAGTGTATTTACATGTACTAAAAAATATATTAAAAAAAAAAAAATCCGCCCGCCCGCCCGTAAAAAAATGTCCATGTTAGTCGAACCACACACCTTCTTTAGTTTGGCCTTATCCGGACATTCTAATTATCCAAACATGAGCCCACAACACAATATGTATGTCAAAATGCTCTCACGGTCATGCAGAGCTGCGCTATGGACCTTAGACACAAATTTTACGGACACTGAACTGACCGGCACAGCCTGCTCGTGCAAACTGAACTGACCAGTACAGTGTACAGTGAACTTCGAATTACACTTTGCTAACTTCGAATTATCAGCACAAATCCCACACATTTTCTATGTAAGTGGAATCTGTGGGACTTCCAATTAACCGGACATGTCGAGTTCGAGGTTCGAATTATCAGAAAATTTTATGTGGGAATCGTATTGATAGAAATCGGTCCTGGAAAAACTTCTAATTAAGCGGTATGTTCGAATTAAGCCATATTCGAATTATCAGGATTCCACCTGTATCTTCTAATGTGAGATGCAGCTGTTGGTCTTGCACATGTAACTTACTCGTTAGTTTTGTGACAATTGTGCTGTGAATGATCATCGGGTACTAGTAAATGTTGAGTGTACCGTCTGTACCGTGTGCATTTTACTAGGACAAATCAACGCCGACGATCAGATTCTAGAGATCAATGGCAAGCCGATCCAGGGCAAGTCGATCAGCGAGATCTCAGCTATCTTGGTAAGGTGTATCATATGCATGTAGTTGTCCTTCCCATCAAGCCATGGGTAAAATAGAATACATGACTGTCGAAATCACTCGCTTACCAATACTACGCCAGTCTGTCTTGAATTCCAGAGAGCTCCTAGTAGCAGCACTCTTTCCCTGGCTGTTTGTTAAAGCGCTGCCTGTCCGGCTGTGTCTGTTACTCTTGTGTTGGTCGTGTGCAGGGAGAGATACCAGTCGGTGATTTGTCGATGAAAATTCAGCCAGCTGAAACGGCACCAGCTACGGGTCCGACCCCAGAGGTAATGTGCACGTGTCTTACTGGTCTACATACTAGTACACTGTTGTCTATGGTGTGGATGGTTGATTGTAAGGAACAGAGGGGGACTGGTGCTGACCATGACTGCAAATATATGTACAGGATGTGTATTATCTTCAAGCACGGACATTGGAGGCAGTGGTGTTCTGAAAAGATCATTCTTCAATAGCATAGCAGTGTGGTTGACTCGATGCAGAGACATTACGTATGAAGGGCAGACACATTCGTTGAGTGTACATGCTTTGATAATAAGCTGAAACTCAACGTCTCGGGATTATGGCGTGCTCTGTTCAGGTGAACGTGCGCGCTCTGTTCGACTACGATCCAGCAACAGATGAGCTTCTACCTTGCAAGGAAGTAGGTCTCGCCTTCAAGAAAGGTGACGTGCTACATGTAGTAAACCGGCATGATGTGGACTGGTGGCAGGTAAGACTGACAACCATCCCTCTGTTTGTGTGTGTGTGTGTGTGTGTGTGTGTGTGTGTGTGTGTGTGTGCATGTGTGTGCGCGTGCATGTAAGTGTGTGTGTGTGTGCCTCTCATTCTCTGCTACACCTGATTTGCCGGGGAAATGTCCAATTTGCTTACCACTGCGCACGTGTCTAACTTTGCAGCAAATCTGCTTAGCCAAGCGTAGGCTTTGGTCACACTACGTCAAACACAAGCACTTGATGCTGGCGTAGTCTCACCGTACTTGTACTTTTGTTGTCGCGGCCTTACGCGCTTCACAAAACCACTCTGTGGCGAACCAACCCGCTACGACACAGGACGCTCAGTTTCCCATTTTATCGTCAGTTGCCATGGAAAGATTCCTGATTCGTACGCTGATGCAGCATTTCTGGCGTAAGGTGACATAGCCATGATTGCCTTCTCTCTCGTGCTGTCTTTCTCTCTCAGGCTGTGAAGGAGGATGAAGATGATGCTGGCATGGCTGGTCTTATTCCCAGCAAGTACCTTCAAGAGCGGTAAGCCATCCAGTGGTGCACTGTAGACAATCCATTTTTATATCCACACTGTGTGCTGCACTAGTATAGGCTGAAGCATGCTACACTGTATGAACGAGCATGGGATACCCTTTGTGCATGTTTTGCTCCAGTTTGTCCTATACCCACCCGGTGGCTACTCCCCAGGTGATTATTTTCCACGTGTGCTAGTCTAGTAGCAATATGGCTAAGCTGTTGGTGTCCGAGTGTTCCGAGTCTGCTGGCATGCCAGTCGGGAGCAAAAACACAGTGATGTATCACAGCGTACAGATCATTGGAGCGTGGAGGGATGCATCGCGTGCAACGTAGCAACGACTGGTGCTGTTCCCCAGACACTGGGCGATAGCAACAGAAGACGGGATGCGCTGACAGTGTGGATGTTTGTCTTTCGTTCTCACCCACATCATGCACAGGAGAGATTCCTACCAGCAGATTGTGGATGACGACGGCAAGAGAGCATCACAGAAAAAGCGTAAGGACGGGCTTTTCTTCTGGCATCCGAACGCTTTAAACTTTTAATTTTGCTTTGCTGAACTCGGAACTTTATGTGGTTGCTGCTATTCTTTAAAAAAATTCCTATGCTGCTGATCAACATGGTTTGGTTTGGTCGATGTGTGCTGTGTGCAGGCAAGAGCAGCAAAGTGCGTCTCCCCAAGAGGAAAAAGAAGAAGGCTAGCACCTACGAGGCCAAGCAAAACGGTATGATTTAGCACTTCCTGGGGGGGGGGGGGGGGTTGGCTTCTGAACCTGTGTACCTGCCAGTCAGCCCATTGTCATGTTTCCTCTGTGCTTCCACAAAGAGCTCTGCCTGAGAAGGAGTAATGAGATTGAATAGTGCTGATGTTAAATAGAACATACGCAAGTGTCTAGTTCCGAACACCGGTGATAAGATGGGTGGGTAGTTGCTAGTAGTGCTGATGGTGATGTTCTTCTTGCATGGAGGCAGATGGCCGGTGAGCTGCTGTTCTTGTTTGTACACTGTATGTTAACGTTGTTGCCCGTCCTGGTTTCCTGTGGCGTGCAGCTTACAACTTTGATGAAGTACATACCTATGAGGAGGTTTTCTTGGTCAAGCCAGACCCGGCCAAGAGGAGGCCCATAGTAATAGTCGGTGAGTTTTGTGCAACACTGTTCTTGAAATGATCGTCTCGTGTGCACACAGACACAGCAGACGCACCGTTGCACAATAACTCTATTTCAAAGATTACGTGAGCAACTGCTTCAGTGCAGGGAGAACTGTGATTTGCCAAAGACTCGGCCTCTCCAGCAATATTGGTGCATACTGCAAACTTCTCATTGAACGAATGACTACAGTACTGGTTGGTTGGTTGGGTTTATTTAAAGTCGTACAACAGGCATATCTGCCTCCTTATATGAAGACGACTTCTGGCAGTAAAACTGTACTGCTGTTTTCCTGTTGACTGGAAATTCAGAAGATTCCTTTTCATTGTGTGCACTTCAAATACTGACATGCTTAGCTTGGTTGTGTGATGACATACATGTTCACAGGTCCGCTTGAGGGAGGCAGAGAGGATCTCAAGGCACGCCTGGTCGATCACGATCCAGAGAAATTCAACATCCCGATTCCTCGTGAGTTCTGCATCTTGTCAGGCACTGCTATGACAGTCATAATAGCTGGCTTCGCTATTGCAGGACGTTGCCGCTCGAATATATCACCTTTCTCTCTTACAGTTGCGTGACTATCATATTGGTGCTTGCTTGCACAGCACAGCCACATGCAGTGTCTGTATGTAAGAGTTGACAACCAACGCACTTCTCTATGTTTTCAGATACCACACGACCAATGAGACCGGACGAAAAGCCTGGTGAGATCTATCACTTCATAACGCAGAAGGAATTCGAGACAAAGATGAAGAGCAACGAGTTCTTTGAGCACGGCCAGCATCGGGAGAACTTCTACGGCACGGCGCTGAGGTCCGTCACGGAGGTAATCATGAGTGGCCACACGTGTGTTGTCACAGCTCATCCAGAGGTAAGACCTACGTGAACCGTAAAGTATTCTTTACTCATCGTGCTTTTGAGATATGCACTTAGCAGTATGTCTGCCTTGTCCAGAGGCCAACCATTAGCTGCAAACTGATTGCAATCACTGCATGTAGAATGCTGATCAAGCTGATATAGTTGGGAAAGCACCAGCTGATATCAATGACTGTAAACCTATTGTCTGCAGAGCAAGATCTGCATTGTATTTATTACTCGTCAGATGCACCTTTTTCATATTGGTTGTAAAGCAAATTGGTCAGGGGACTCGTATTAAGTGGATTGATCATCACCTCTGTGTGTTTGTTTTGCTTGTCTTTCTTTGCAACTTGACTGTGTACACAGGCACTTGCTCTTCTCCGTGCATCCAACATGGTGCCGTACGTTGTCTTTCTACGACCGCCCTCGCTGAGTACAGAAGCCGATCAGGTACACACAAGCGAACCCGTCGGTATAGTACTCCGCTGGGTCTTGCAGGCTAAGTGATCGCAATGATGTTGTACAATCATGTACTAGTATAATATCAGACCAGTATTTTTCTCAGACCGTAGCCACTGTACTGTAGAACGGGTAATTTTAGCGACGTAAAAACCCTAGCGAATTTAGCGATCGACTCATTTTCGCTAAAGTTTCAAGTCGCTAATCCGTTGAGACATTAGTAGTGCACTGGTGATCCGTGAGTAAAATCGCTGCAAATCGCTAAAATAAAACGTCGCTAACCGGTTGACAATGGGAAAACGCTAAAATTAATAGTCGCTAAAATTACCCGTTCTACAGTAATAGCATGTGCGCAGTGTGGGCATTCCCACATAATGCATATCGTAAACAACTCGTCAGCTTTATTCGAGGGCTTTGTCGGGTGGTTGTTTCTGCCAAACGTAGCCAAAATACACCAGTGTTTACGAAATAAGCACCTGTTATGGTGCCGTGATGCAAACACTCCCCTCCATGGTCCACGGATTGTACAAAGGTTTATTTTTAGGCCAAACACGTTCTCACCGCCACCTTGGCCGTTGTTGTCTTTGTTTGTGCGTGTCTCCAGCCTCAACTTGCCGAGGAATCAGATCAAGCACGGGGACATCAGCTTGCGTATCAGATGGAGGTGCAGTTTGGTCACTTGTTCGACAAGACTATTGTCAACCACGACATCGAGGTCAGCCTTCAGGAGATGTTGGAAACGGCACATTTCTTGCAAACGCGGCCACAGTGGGTACCCCTGACGAGACGCTCAACCTAAGCGTTTACAACAGATGCCATCTCTCGGCTAATGCCGCGAAACAGTGCACATCCCCTGTGCAAGGCATGCATGTGACCACCCCCTGCGCGAGTCACCTTGATACTCCTTCAACACTCGCCGCCATCAACGGCCCTGATTGACGCAGCCAAAAGGAAGCAACGACTGGCAATGAGTGGCCGGACCATAAGCAGTGATGTGTGATGGATGGTTTGCTCAGTATCCAGGAAGTGCTGCAGAGCTGATCGTCTCCCTGCTGTTGACGCTGCCAGCCCTGAGGTAGTTTTACTACTAGTATTGTCCTCTCTAAGCTGCCAATGCTTACTAGTATTGTCCTCTCTAAGCTGCCAATGCTGCTGCACAATGCACCAAGCACATTCTGCACATACATTGGGGGACAAATCACACTCAAGTTGAAGCCTATCACTGCTCCATGGAATATATTGGCAGATAGAGCATGGCAGGAAGAGATTATAATAAGACCATTGACATGATTTGAAACAGAAAGGTGGCAAACGAAAGTCTCTTTACACAAGTCGGAATAAGGATGAAAATAGTATGTACAAAACTAGAATGTGTCCTACAAAAACTTCTCTCCCTTGTCAGATTATTTTGAATTGTCCCACGTTTAGTGCGATGAATTGGTGCGTGTAATGACTGATGATATGGCTGCCAGATTTGTTTGCGAGTTTATGTGTTTTATGCAGTAGGTCTAGCTTTTATAATTGTTATTATAGATCATTCTAGATAGTCCTGTTATTCCCTTTTCACGCTATGCTGTTGCTGAGAGTGGATTCGGTGTTTCAGTATCCATGGCTATCCGAGCAGGCTTGCACATGTTATCATCGTTCGCGTCTTCGTCGTCTAAATTGATCATTGCTATTGGTGGTTGAGGCTTTCTGCAAGTGAGAAAAAGAGGTGTGATTGCTTGCCTCAGATTTTGAAACATCTATGAATTGTGAAGTTCACAAACTTTTGTTGTCTGTGAATTGTGTGGGCAGAATGAGGACTCCGCGGGAGTGATAATAAGAGGTTCCAGTGTATACTGTACCAATTTTCATTATTGGGAAAACTGCATACCGGCACATGACGATCAGGACTAGTGGTATATTCGTGCAAGAAGTGTGGAACGGAGCATCTCAATGGTGCCAAAACGAGCAATATTAGTACTAGTATGGGACTACATATGTGAACATTATGACCCAGCTCAACACCCTCATTCACTCACCTCTTGAACTGATCAAAGCAGCCTGGCATAAATCCTCGGACAGCTGGACTGCTGATACTGCTATTGGTGGAAGCCGGACGACCGACGCCAAGTCGCTTCGACCCGCCACGACCTGGAGAATGCACGTGGCATGACACAGCAGCACGACAGATATACCCAGCAAGTTCACATCAGTCATGATCCAAAGAGCCAAGACTGCCAGAGATAAGAAAGTAGTCCATTGCGAGTGCAGTGTCAGTAGCTGAGATAACCAAAATAGTAGACCCAATCACATAATATTATGTTTTCAAAGTCTAAGGCTGTGACTGAGTGTGTTTACATGAGGCGTTTCAACCCGGGTTGAGTTTGACCCGGGTCAGATTTCAACCCGCCATGTACACAAAATGAATGGTGCGTTTATATGACGCATTGCGCTTGACCCGGGTTGAAATTTCGCCCCGGGTTGATTTCAACCCTCCCCGCAAGGGGAGGGTTGAAATCAACCCGGGTCAAGAAAATTGTACTAACGTACTTCTGTGCGTATCTCGCGCCAGGTTTGAACAGCACTGCATATGCAAATTTCGCGCGAACGGATTCACGTGACCATACAGGACTCTAGAAGTGGACTTTTGGCGGCATATCAGTATTTGACCCGGGTCAACTGTCTTCATGTAAACGCTCACCTATTTTGTCTATCGTATAGACTTTCAACCCGGGCTGAAATTTCTCATGTAAACACAGCCTTAGGTGCCGCCATGAGAGACGTAGACATAGACATAGAGAGAGAGAGAGAGAAAAAGAGAGAGAGAGAGAGAGACCATAGTGCAAACATGGTCACCAACGTTACTGCAGCGAGTTTACTCACGAGATTTGGACAACGTCGCAAGCAACTTCTTGCCTGGTGACTGTGCACGGCACACATGTAGACAGAGGAGAAGGATTTTAGGCAGTTATCAATTGTGTTGTGGGATGCACAACATGTGCGTAAATGTAAAAAGAATACAGAGCAGTATACAGCCAGACCGCGCTTCAAGAGGACTGGACAAGCAAGCTCTAGCTGTACTAGAGCACATATGAGTATACTGGTAGTGTAGCATTGGCAGTTTCGCATTAGTTAACACAGGACTAGCAAGTCATAGAGAACTGCGTTCGCAGGGCATAGCTGATGAAGCACACACCAACCCTGTCAAGTGCGTGCACACACAGATACACAGTCACACAGTCAGTCACAAACAAACACACACACAGTCACACAGTCAGTCACAAACAAACACACACACACACACAGTGCTAAACTCACAGGCCGTGCAATCAATGGAGCTGAGGAAATCGGCGCTGGCTTGGGTTCAACTGGAAGGCGACGGGGCTGAGGTGGTGGAGAATTCTCTATTTCGCTATCCAGAACTACTTCCCTATCAAGAAGACGTGCGGAGAAGGATGGTGACTGCAATGGCACTGTTTGACTGTCAGCAACATTGCCGGCAAGGATTGGTGACGGGTCACTCTTGCGATCGGCATCAATATCATTTGGTACTGCAATTTGGGCCATGCTAGACTCCTTTATCGGGAACGCATCTGTACTATCACGCCTAGCCGCTTTAGCCGGGGGTTGGTGATCTAGGGCACCTGTGTCCTCTGTCCGTCCCAGAGCTGGCAATGGTGGTGGTGGTAGCTTGCATACAGCAGCTTGGCTACTGTCCGACGATCGACGTTTGCCGACGTAGTTGAACATGGACAGCCCATTCCCAGCACTGTTGTTTTGTTTCTTCTTGGCATCAGGAGTGGCAGTTGTGTTGCTGGTTTGATTGGACTGCGGATGGCTATTGGACTGACCCAATGGCTTTGGCTTGGCTCCAAATACAGATACCGGTGGCTGATATTGGTTGATGTGAGTTGTAGCTTCCTCATAGCGTTTCTCAGAGGCTTCTCGTAACATTGTGGAGATAGTGTTTTTGCTGGACGGGGAGCGGATAGCTGCCTCAGCGAAGAACCTGGCAGTAAAGAGAGAAGAAAATGCAAAGAGTGTTTATCAACACAGAGCAGCGAACCAACACCTCATACCAGTAACAACACACACACACACACACACACACACACACACACACACACACACACACACACACACACACACACACACACACACACACACACACACACACACACACACATAACAACAAGAACAAGAACAAAAACAACTGGCGATGGTGCTATCGTGAGAATAAAGAATTCAACAACAACAACATTTCTCTTATTGGCCACAGGCCATCGTGAGAATAAAATATTTCAAACATAAAAGATTTCAAACAACAACAGCAGCAAATGAAGCCTGTGCTTGGTCACAGGCCAGTGTCAGAGGGAGGTTTGGCTTGCTTACTGCTTGCTTCATCAAACAGCAAAACTCAACCAGCAGCACGGCAGCAGCAAATGCAGCTGCTGTCACAGGAGATACGGATAATCTTACAAGTACTCTAGGATGTCCTGCTCATCAACATGTCCCAAATAAGCAAAAACAGCAAAACCAATGAACCATGTCCACACTAACCACCCACGCACGCGCACATGCACACACACACCCACACATACACAGCCATGAGCCTTACTTGCTAATGCGCGTGCACTTTGTAGCGCTTGGTGGTGCAGCTGCAACAGGCTGAACGCGCTCATTCAAACTGGCTGAGAGAGGCTCCTCCGATTCCTCCATGTCATCATAAGATCCTGGTAATGAGCTCTCCTCGTCAGTGAGGACTTGTTCGCCCAGGGAATCACGTAATGGACTTGATAGCCGTGAGGTGTTTGCCACAGCCATGCTAGATCTTCGGTGATGCTGGCGTTCAGCTGTTGGTGATTCTAGATGGACATTGGTTGATGACGAGGAGTTTGCCGCCACAGTCTTGCGAACACCATACGACATGAGCACCGACTGGTCGGGCAAGCGCTCCTTTATCACTCGTGTTTCCGTACGGGCTACACCAAATGAACAAAGCGCATAACAGTGCATTACTCACGATAGGCACAATACATGCACAGTACATGCACAGTACATGCACAGTACATGCACAATACATGCACAGTACATGCACAGTACATGCACAATACATGCACAGTACATGCACAATACTTCCGGGGAAAACGCCCCAATTGTTTCGCATAATAATAATAATTATTATAATTGTACGCATTCCCGCTTTTAAGTGTAGCAGCAGTATGCTGCGTCCACAGCTTCGCTTATGCAGAATGGCTTGGGTGAGAGGAGAGGGGAGAGAAAGCAACAAGGCACCCAACATCTATGAAATAGGCCACAATAACATGAAGAGAACCAACCTACATATGCATGATTGCACAAGAATGGAGACGACAAATGGCTATAATCATTGTGCCCCAAAACCGGCACACAGGAGATCTGTCGACAATAGGGAGGTTTAGTTCCCACGTAACGGAAACGCGTACGTGGGTGATCCACGTAAAGTGGATGAAGGGCACCCACGTTGCAATGTTGTGTTACGTCACACGAAACAAACAAAAGAATGACGCGAAAGGCCCAAACCGGGTCAAAGACGAAGCTACCCGGGCCTAAGAAGCTCATCCAATATTTTGATTTCGTGCTTCGGAAACTTCTTCAGCTGAGCACCCTCACAGCTCGCACAATGCGCTCCAATCTGATTTTCACCCACGTTCTGGCGGAACGTGGGTGAGCCTCCATACACGGTATGTCGTGAATCAGAAAACGTCTGTATGTGGGTCACTGAGTATCACGTGGTACACACACGTAAAGTACCCACGGATTACGTGGGACTTAACCTCCCTAATGTAACGAAACATAAAACTCAGTTTAGTACTCAATACAGGTTCCACTAAATTACAAGAACAGCGCTACAATAGTAGAATTGCCGCTAAATTATCGCAAGTGTAGAGAACGAGTCCAATACAAATGAAAACCATGAACAGGCCGTCCCGAAGTTATTTTGGGAACAAATTGTACTACTTGCTGACACTGACGGAACACGAATTATTTGAGTTGAATACGCACGAAGTCTTGTACATGTACATCATTATGCGCCGGTGTAAGCAGCAGGTACGACAGCCACCAATCCAGCTTCAGCTCCGCGCTCGCTTCAGCAGAATGTTGGCCGCGTTTGCTTTGCCTCCACACGGATAGACGACCAGCGCAGAGTCCCGCAGCTCCGTGGCCGTATGGTCTTGACATTCGCCGTTAGTGCCGTCAAGTCTCAGTCCACCTCTCACAGCAAGCCGCTCTATGAAAATCTTTCTCTCTCCATTGGAGAGAGAGAAGAGTTGCTACTTCTCCATCCGCATAATACAGGGCCAAAATCTCCCCAGAGGCTTGAACCCCATTCGCACTTCTAAAGACCTGTTTCCTGTGCATCCCGGGGACTGAGACGGCGGGGACTCATGATATGCTGGACTGCTGTTACACTATGCAATGTACATGTAGATAGCTTGCCATATGCTCGATGGTAACTGCAAGTAGAAAAGCCAGTTTAGCAGTGAACGACTACATGCTATTGGGCAGCATGTAACTCCTTTGGTGGCTGTATTCAGTGCAGCTTAAAGCATACTTGAAGTACTGTCAAACTTCATTTACTTTAAAAAATTACATGTACATGGAAATGGAAGATGAGTGACAGCAACAACAACGAGAACAAGAATAACAAGAATAACAAGAACAACAAGAACAACAAGAACAACAACAACTATCTCTTATTGGCGATGGTGCCATCGTGAGAATAAAGAATTCAAAAAGAATTCAAAAACAACAACAACAACAACAACAACAACAACAACAACAACAACAACAACAACAACAACAACAACAACAACAACAACAACAACAAATCAGATAGGGTTAACTCACCGAACATACTGGATTGGGAGCGGATGCAATGGCCACTTTGCTTCGAAGCGGCTGTGTTTGCTTTGGCCGGCGTAGTACGGCTGGTTTTGTTGGCCTTGGGCAGCATGGCAGATATCGTAGAGCTGGGCGCTTCTGGTTGGAACGTCTTGAAGTTCTGCGGCTTGGACACTACCTGGAAAGTGGAAACGCACAAGTGAACAACACACAGCAACACCAAATTGGTTTTTAACAATCCAGCCCCTGTACTATAAAACTGTGCAGTAAAACTGTACTGTAAAAATCTATTACACTAGCACCGTAAAGTACCGCAAGAGCGCCCCACCTTGATTTTACAGCCACGGAAAGGAAAATCGTATGGCAGAGTGCATCTAAGTTTATACGGTGTGAGAACTGTCGTGTACCAAGGTCATGCTCACTGAGTCAGCATGTTCTTGTGTGGAGCTCGTATCCGCTCAAAGGTAAGCTGAGTACAGAATGACTGCACAAAGAGCAATGCGTGTGCATGTACAAGGTACATGTATGTGTCGTATGACCTCTAGACAGGACACCACCACCACAACACATGATGAATTCATGCATAAGCAGTTGACACACATACCTTGGAGAGGTCAAAGCCAGGCACAACCTCACCAGTGAGCGAGAGAGCACCACTGGCAATACCTTCAGCTCTGGATGTGTCGTTGTTACTGAGATAGCCAGGTCAGTCAAGGAATCACACGACGACAATGGAGCAGGGTCCGCACTCCGCCGCAATACTCAGTGAATTTCTCCATAATATACTATCTCCCATCAATGGTTGCTCACTAGTCAACGCTTCCTTGCATTGATATGTGTACAAAAGAATTCATTGGTCCGATGAGCATGCTTACTGCATGTGACAACAGACAATGATTAACACATGTACTTTGAATCCAGCAGGGATGATTTATTCACATTGTCCTCAAGCTTGATTACACACACGCACACACATCCACGCCAAAGAAGCAAGGGAGGATACACTCCAACAAACGACCAGTCGTCACAGAGCTGCAGCACATCACTGGGTATGGTGGTGAGGTGACGAGTCTGCTTCGCTTCCGGGTCATACACAATCTGATACAAGAATGTGTACTCTGCCAGCCAGAAGCGCTTCTCGTAATCCGTCGGCACTCGCTTGGAGCAGTCCAAACGCAAGTTAGAGATCACCTGCAGCAAATGGTAAGTACAACACCGTCAGAAATAACTTGAGACGAAGTTTCAAATGGCAACAAACTAGTACTACAAGTTCTACAACAAACACACAAGATCAAGTCAAAACTATACAAGGCACAATACAAAGCCAAAGCTACTCATCTTATACAATAGCCTGCATTCAAACCTCTGGGGTCACAACAAGAAAATGCTTTGCCTTTAAAAAGCCCAGAGAAACAAGCTCACATGTGAGCAAGCAGAAGTTGCACAGTCACAATGGAATGATCCCAGTTACTTACATGAAGTAAGTATAGACAGCTAACACACAATGGCATGAGCTAGCCAGTTATCACAGCTTGCACCAGCATGGCAGGTTTCGTCCCAAAGTACACTGAAAACAGTGTTACATTGTCACTGCAGTGCTAGTTCACTTCTCCCAATTTCCAACACAGTACTAGTAGCTCCCCAGTCAGTCAGAGCGATCATTTGTTTGTGATTCCGTAACCTCTTTACGCGGAGGTTTCACTTCATTGTGACATATCACCCGAGCTGGGCTATGAGAGTTAGAGCGAAACCTGCCTCTGTTCCCACACCGACCATGCTCACTGAGTACTGCTGCTAACGTGTGGCATACTTCTCTAGATAGTTACTACCTTTGACTTGAGAACAATGTGAATAAATAATCCCGGCTGGATTCAAAGTTCATGTATGAATCATTGTCTGTTGTCACATACATACCTTTGACACATCCTTGTTACACTTCCTTAGCAGCTTGACGGCTGTCTGTAGACCTACTCCACTGACTGAAGCTAGATAGTCACAGCCGGACAGAATGCACATGTGCCGGAAGTCAGTGATGGTGAACTGGCTCAGGTCCACGGATGACACCTCGCCAAATCGGCCAGCATCGATGAGGGTTCCGCTACCGAACGCATCCATTTTGAACAGGACCTGGGGCAGAAGTAGAGAAACACACAGACTAAGGATCTGTCTACATGCCTACTTGCTGTAACATATATACAGCCTGGGCCACTATTATAATCAGTTTGCCGATTCGGGGTCCTTGAAATCAACACGTGTGACTATCAAATATATGTAGCAAGCACAATGTAGGCACATTGTGCTTAGTTTGCTTTGGATTGATCAAATGTGATGAGAATGTGTACGTTCTGGAGTTCAACGGCATCCAAATGTCGATTTCGTTTGGTTTGCCTTGGACTGACCAAATGTGATGAGAATGTGTGTGTGTTCTGGAGTTCAACGGCATCCAAATGTCGATTTCCTCAGGCTCCTGGATTGGTTAAAAATAAGATCAAGTAAATCAGGGCATGCGCTAAGGATTAAAATGTTCTCGCTCCACATATACTGGCATACACAGAGACATAGACAGCAATAGCGACAACACACAAAGTGAAGGGTAGACTCAAAACTGACTGAAGAAGTCAGGAAAAGAAGCGACAACAAAGAACACACCAGATGCCATATTTGCAACTGAAAATATTTCGCGAAAAATCATTTCTCGCCTATCTCGCTGCGCTCGGCCGGCGAGAAATACAACTGCTCTGACACAATGTCCTGCCAGTTGCAAAAATGGCCGGACATTTCCGGACATGCAAATTTTCACATCCAAATGCGACTTCAGCTGCTGCTTCAGCGAGAGTCCGATGTAACTGCAGAACAATGCGCACGCTTTCTCGTTTTTATGTCCACTGCCTAAATCAACGCCATGACGCGCCTCAAGCTGGCAGAGCGATTCCATCTTCGCGAAAGCCATATGCTCTTTACATATCAGGTAAGCAATTTCAAACTTACGTCTGACCTTGGCTGCTGCTGCATCGTCAAGTTTGCACAAGGCTCGAGCGATTGGCGCATACTCTATTGGGTTTCCGCTTGACTGCTCCCTGCCAAACAATGCCATGGCACGGTGATGCATTTCAGAAGCAGCATGTTCTTCGAAGGCTGACGTTTTCAGGTTCCTTGAGCCAACGACGAATGAGTCAGAAAAATTCTTGCTGCTGCGAATTTTATCAACAAAACGGGAACACATCTTAAGCTGTGTTCACAACTGGCGCGTGTACGCGTGAAACCATGCGTTTGTGCGTATTTTTGCTGGCTTTTGGGGAAACGCGCCGAAATGGAAATTCCAACATGTTGGAATTTTCAGCGCGTATCAGGCGCGTACCAGCGTACATGCCAGTCACTTTCACTGGTGGGGTCAAAAATTAGTAAATTTCAGAAATTTTCGGTGCTCAATATTTTCGGTATGAGGACAACAGGCCAGGTTAGGTGAACAGAAAATTTCGGTACAGAGAAGCAGCTCCCTATCGGATTATGTGTGTTAGTGTTTGTTCGGTGTATTGAAATTTTAGGTATGAAACAGACGCACCGAAAGTACCGAAAATAAAAGTACACCGCAAATTTGTGAAATTACAGTACTCGAAGGTGTCGCACGCGCTGAATACGACTCGAATTGCTGTTTTTTGTGAAAGCCTGAACGCGCGTTTGGGCACGCATGAACCGCAAGCGTACCGCGTCCACGCGCCAGTTGTGAACACAGCTTTACACTTCAAATTTTCGACAACGCTACGATCTGAGGGACTGCGCTCATAGCTCAGCCAAACAGAAGTTGAAAGCTCCCTATCATACTCGGCGACCCACTTGTCACAAGTGGTCGTCTTGACTCCTCTGGGCTTCTTTCCAAGAGGAGCACCCGCATCAGCGGTGCTTGGCTTTCTCTTGCCAGACGACATCACTAATGACTATGAGACAAAGGATTGACGTGCCTTTTCTTTTTTGTACTTTGCAAAAAAAGTGCGCGGACACTTTGTCCGGATGTGTACAAAACATCCGGAAACTGACCGTAAACGGCCGGAAATAGTCTGATGTCCGACCGTTACTTCGTGCCCTGTAAATACTCCGGAATTGCACGGCAAACCTCGGCTGTGACCACATACTTTTGCACAACTGACACAGTACTAAAAGCCACAGCTAGAGAGAACACGGTTCGGACGTTGCCACTGGTGATGGCCGGTGGCTACTGGCTGTTAAGTAATATTTTAAATTGCATCAGAAGAGTGGTCTTGCAGTCAGCCCTACCACACACGTGTGCCATGAAACAAGACAACCTACCTTGTGACAGCCATAGGCCAGTAAGTCCGAGTCCTCGCTGATGATAATGTCAGCAACACCAGACTGCTGAAGGAAAGCCAGCTGTGCATCGGCCTCGTATGGTGCTACAATGCACTGGATGCCCATCTCGCGGCATGTCTGTAGAAAGCGAGATTAAAATGTACGGCAATGTTAGCAGCAAGAAAGGTGTCCTAGCTTGCAGATAGTATGAGCTAGTAAGGATATCCGCAGCACACTCGTGCCCAGTTGGTCATCAACATACCACCTTGAAGAGAGCACAAACTAGTCACTGTTAAAAGTATCGAATAAGATGTACTAACCTTAATGACATTCCTGGCCATGTCTGGTGTGATATCGACGCAGCGCTGGAAGCACTCGGTTGCCTTCTGCCGATTGCCCTGCTCAAGGTGCTGCCTACCCGCCTGACGTGCCTTGGCCCTGTTGTCGCGTCTTTCTTTCTCCTTCTCGCCCTTAGTGGGCAGGTTGCGGCCATCAAATACCATGATTGGTGTCACATTATGATACAACAGCATTTTCAGCCGCTTCACACAATAGTTGACATACCTATTGAAAAGCAATATGACACACACATTTTTGAACAATCTCGTTTCTTTGGGATACTGAGCTAGTGCTGCACATAAATGCTACTGCGCATGTGACATGGCCCATGGACTGAATACTTTGCCTTTCAGGTTTTATTCTTACGTAATTATAATAAAGCACAGTGTCGCCTTGTGAGCCAAATGATAATTATCTTGCCTGGATAGAAGCAGGCAGGCATAGTGGGATGGTCTAAAACCATGATTTTTTTGGATACTAAAAAAATGAATAAATAGAACTTACACAGTTGTGTCACTCCCAATGCATAGCTCATAGGCACAAGCATATACTCCCTTGTGGAGCCAGCAATACGCATCGATGGCCACGGTCTGCCCTCTGTAATCCTTAGGGTCGACTTGCTGATGGATGCTTTTCAGCAAGGGAAGAAGACCTTGGATTCCCATGTTTCACTCGGCGAATATTATTCAGTCGTACAAGAAGACAGACAAATAATGTGCTGCCAGTATCAACACAAAGTCAGAAAGTAAAATGATCTACAGTCCTCCTTCTATTTGATGGAAACCAAAGGCAAATGGCTACAAGTCAGCACAAGAAATGGAACGCTTGTAGACTCTTTCCGGAATGATTCACCAGTGTGTCGTGCAGATCTAGCGTCTTTGTTGTTTTCCTGTGTTTTACACAGACTTCTGTCTTCGCGATCGCGTGTTCAGTTTTCAAAACAGACCGCGAGGCGCGGGAACCGTACAGGCTCGACCTCGTGCCGCGCGCCAAGCATGGCTCGACTATCGATCAGGGAGTAGTATTAATACTACTCCCTGCTATCGATTGACCATGTTGACGGTGCTCCATGATTCATGAAGGCATGCATGATCTGACCAGGCATCATGTGCACATTGTGCAGTGCATGCCATGCAGTAGATCTACACTACAGAGTCAGTGCATACAGCTCCCCCACACTCCACAGTGGCCCCACCCCCTTTCACAAAATATGTCCCATGTCCAAGATCCATGATTACTGATGCCTGATTGTGTGAATAGTGCAGTCTACTGAGTAGGTCTACTCAGCGGCACTGCCCACATGTAGCATGCCTATCTACGGCTACACAGGGGCGTCGAAAGGTATTTTAGTGGAGGGAGAGCTGAGCAGAACATTTGGAAATTTAGAGCCCAAATCAGTGCATGTTATTGATTCACGGGGTACTTGGGGCAAATAGTGGTACGGTCAATACCGTAGTGACAGTACCGTGTGCGACGCCCCTGCTACAGTAGTGCTACTCCCTGATGGTGAAAGCAAGACAGTCTACGAGTGTCAAGCCCGGAAGCGTGTGTTCATCAGGGAGTCGTGATATCTAGCCAAGGCCAAAACGTGTGTTTCCACTTGTAGTTCTACAGTCATGGTCCATGGTCAGCAATATACGATTTGTGGGCGTGGCCGTGACTGGCTGAGCCTGGCCCCAAACGTGGCCCAGCCCAGCTGTGCTGCAAAAATTGGGTCGCTGGAGCCGGTCCGGTTGGTCAAGTCATCACCCCGGACCAGGGAGTCGTAACATGCTTTACGACTCTCTGCCCGGACCAATCAAAAACTGCATCCGGTGTACCTCCCCAAAGTGCAACTGGAAACAAGCAGCCCAACGTGAAACCCACATGCAGCGTTTTAAGTTCCGCTTGTCCCATGCCGTCTCGCTAGACGCTACAACTCCCTGGTGTTCACAATGCAGGCAACCACCTATCAAGCCATGCGCTAGCTAGCTGCATCCACAGTTACGAGCAGTTCTGTGATGGTACATGTGATAAACGAAACAAATTTACAGCACTCGCACGAGGTTCACACCACTGAAACAACGGGCCGGGATTGTCAGGTCACAACGGGTGATCTGACCTACCGCCTACAATACTACTACGACAGGTAAGAAAATAGTTCACTGCGCCATGTGATAAGCGTATTGGTTTATTCTAATAAATACTTTGTAGTAGTCTCCATCGAGGAGCGAGTGGAAAAGAACAACAAAACAAAGAACAGCACAACGGAATCAGCATGCTCAATGTGTACTCATGCGTGCATGCCAAATACCAATGCATGACGTAAGCTAACGTAAACTGCGTACAATAAGACAGATGCACGCGGGTGGTTGCATATAGGATAGCGTACATAATAATACAACAGTACACTGCACTACCAGGGACAATACGTGTTCTCTTCTTGGCCATGCACATCCAGGCATACACTGCACCAACAACAACGTAAAACCGGCTGAATGAGCGGGAGATGTGTGTCATCCTGCTACTTGGAATAACAAGCATTATACAGACAAAAGGTGTACTAAAATTGTAAGAAACCTCTAACCTACACTGCAGAACCTGCACCTACAGTATAATAACAATAGAAAATGTGGAAAACGTACTCAAACAAAAACTGATCATTTGCAGGCCAAAAGGAGTTCTGCAAAGCAACTAAAAGACCGGAGTAGAAAAGAAAACGGACGGGGAAAGAGTCTCAAAACTAAAAGACCAGAGTAGAAAAGAAAACGGATGGGGAAAGAGTCTCAGACAGGACCATGATGGTCATGTAGCAACAGCTCATCCATATGTTTTGGATGGAGAAAAAACGGGTCAATCGTGCCCTCTTGCAATTACCGGCAACAATAATAATAAGCATGGGTGGCTTACATAGCATCAAGATCATCCGTATAACACACTGTCCACGCTAACCGATTTATCGAAAACGTACAAATACACGCACACACACGCACACACACACACACACACACACACACACACACACACACACACACACACACACACACACACACACACACACACACACACACACACACACACACACACACACATACACACACATACACACACATACACGACAAGTACATTGTACCTCACTAGACGTAAGCAACGAAGCACAGGGGAAAACGTGTCACACTCACCCAAAGACAATCAACTGTTCAGGATTCACTGGTGGCCGTGTGTACGTACTGGTAAGCAGCATGTAAAGTAAGCGGAGATAAGCTGATCTGCTATGCTGGATAATAAAAGGCAAAACCATAGCTGCTCACCAAACCAACACACCACAGGAAGCTCAATATTCAAGATCACCTACATAGGCATTAACAGGCAGGTGCTGCACTGGAAGACGATGTTGTGGATACCGTTACAACTGCCGCAGCTGCCGCCGTTGCTGCCATCGAATCTTCAGCACACACTGCCATTGGCTCTTCTGTGCTTGCTGCTGCTGGCGGCGCTGCTGCTGCTGCTGCTGCTGCTTGACTGGCTTCTTGCTCCAGCACACGTTCCTGATACTCTCTCATGAAGTTGTATTGCTGTAATTCACAGAGAAAAGAAAAGGCGTCAGTCATCCCAGTATTAACAGCAAACGCATAAAAAAGAATTCACAGCCGAAGGAAGCTGGATACACGAGGATCAGAGAACCTGAGATTAACAAGGTGTATGACAAACTACACATGTTCAACTGGGCACTGGTTATATAGATTCCACCTATGTGTTTCACTACGATGGTAGTTATGAATTCACTCCTCGAAACCCTACGTAGCAGATCTATACTGGTGCAATGGCACAGTTGACACCCAGCTCACGGTTTAAAAATGCGGTTTCAAAATGCGGGGAGCGCACTGCACCAGGTTCCATGTGTAGAATGGCATATTCTGCGAGGGGAGGATTCAAGATTTTAAATATCCGGTTCCCTGCCCAATGTGAATACTTGCCGCGAAAGACCAAAATAAATGCTACACGGGGCTTGACTGCAAAACGCCAAACTCTGAGGCACAGGTGCTTGACTGCGCATGCGTTGAGCAAGAACAAGAGTGACAGCTGGAATCACCTGACCCTGTTTGCATGCTGGGCATAGCTGAAAGCTCACAGTGGCGCTACATTCTTAACACAAGGAATCGTATCTCTCTCTCTCTCTCTCTCTCTCTCTCTCTCTCTCACACACACACACACACTCTCTCTCTCACACACACACACACACACACACACACACACACACACACACACACACACACAAACACACACACACACACACACACACACACACACACAAACACACAGCAACAGCAGCAGCAACAACAGCAGCTACACTGGACATGAATAACACCAAACACCCACAGTTGTACTCACTCTGACAGAACAGATTGCGCTTGGGCCATAGTAATTACGCACAATGTCGATAGCTGTATCCGCGCTTAGCTCACTGTTTAGGCGAAGAATCAGCAAAGCAGCCACTGCCGAGACACATTGTTCAAACACACATACAGCTCCAGTAAGAAAGAGTGCTGCAACATGAATGCATACATAATACAGTGGCTATCTCCTGGCCCCTATGCAACCCCTGCAGTGCTAAGGAAAAAAAGGAACTGACAATTCATAACATGACATGAATTTCTAGGTACTATACAGCCTATTCCAGTTATCATAGCAGTTTGACTTACTCACGCTAGAGCGTCCACATCCATGTAAGCAACTGAAGATGAACAGGGAAAACCAATGAACGAATTTCATCACAGGAGGTCTGATAATCTTCGAGGCACATGCTTACCACACCACCAACAGCACACCTACAGTCCATTTCAAAACTATAGACGCGTACCTAGGCAAAAACCGTTATGCCAGCATCTATACCACATAAAATCTGTGATCACTTTGTGCATAAATTTTTCCAAATTGGGCGTCTGTTATCCAATCGTTTAGAAACTATATGAGAGTACCGTATTTTTCCGGTCGACCTTTCACGACTAAAAATAGAAGGAGAAAGGGTGGGGGTCGACTTACAACCGGGATTCGACTTATAACCGGGAACTATCAGTATCTTACAAAAAATGACGTGCACTGCATGCACGAGAGCACCATGTGTACACATTTTTGCCAGTTTATTGGCTTTTTTAAAGGATTCGGAAGTTATACTCTCCAATAAGGAATGTTTACATGATTTGTTGATGTGTTAGTAGCAGGGAGTGGTAAGTAGTGCTTCGTTGGATGAAAACTTTAAAACGCAGAATTGAGACCTCCGGATATGGGGGTCGACCTATAACCGGGGTCGACTTACAACCGGTAAAATACGGTAATTGTGGAGCGGACCTGAGCAATATTCCGAAAACTATTCTCAAAAAGGTTCCAGCCAAATTTGAAATATTTCAAAAACACTGCGCGTCTATAGTTTTGAAATGGACTCTAAACAAACACGAGCATGGCCCTTACAAGTACACGAGGGATGCACCTAGGCTAGGAAGTAGGAACTCTTATGAGTGTGCTGTACGAGTACATATAATGTACATGTACAGCACGGGCAGAAATAGGTAGTATCAAGAAGTATAGTCAGCTGGAGTGTGTTTCCCATGACCAGGCTACATGTTCATCATACACAATTCAGGCTGCATACTGGACAGAAGATGGAAAAGAATGCTACAATCAAGCGGATGTTTCTTACTGCAAAACAGTTGATTTCCCTGCCAAGACGGCTTCCTGCAAGTCATCAAGGATCTTGTTGCATGCTGCCAAGTCCAGGTCTGCCGCAGGGTTGATCGGTGCATGGTGAACATTGATGCCGACTTCATCCAGCTCCCACATGAGATTGCGCACCTTCATTCTACACCAGTGCAGCCAGGATAACAGAACACCACAACACGTGGAAAATGCACACATAAAATAACACGCAGGTATAACTATTAAAGGCATCGGCAACAACAGTACAAACAGTTTGCCTCAACAAGGAAAACACAGACAAACAGACCGAGGGTGTACAGACCATGAGGTGGCATACTTACGCTCTCAGCTCACTGAATGGACACAATACAAATGACTCCTGGATGCCCATGTCACGCAAGTAATCTGTGAGGAGAAAAAAACAAGACAAGACAGTCAATGTTGCTGCCAGGAGTTCGGTGCAGGACAAGGCTGAAGCCCGAAATGACTGAATATAACAAAACAAAAAACAAAACACAGAAAAAGCTGTTTCTGCAGGGCTGCAGGAGTGCTGAAAAGAAACGCATGTGTTTGGTCGTGGGGCGCTGTGGGCCTACGGCAGATGCATACAAATAATCAGCCACCCCGAGTTCCATCTGCTTCGTAACAGCACGTGTCAGCACTCACCCGAGCTGTGCAGGCATTTGTCCACCAGTCACGTACTCTCAACCAGGAGGGACCCTCACAGCACACAGCATTCAGACAGTGGCTTTACTGATAACCAGTATGATGTAAGTCAAATCATGCACTTCTGTGGCTGCATACAGAAGCGTCGGGAATATACAAATGCCACACCAGCCTGACTTACCCACATCATATCGTAAGCTCCTCCGCAAACCACCATATACACAGCCTGGTTCAAAGGAACACAGAAAAGTGACCAGAAAACAGTGTGAAGTACAAAGAAGAGTCAGAATAAAAGGTAGAAAGAAAGAGTGATTGAGACAGTGAACACAGGCGAGGAACAAGACTTTGGAGAGAGTTGGTCAAACTCCAGGAGTCTTGCCAGCAAATACACTGAAGTAGGAACGTGCCTGGTATGAGTCCTGGTGGTGACAGTCATTCCTTTCCTCGGACTTTCCCCTTCCATAACTTCTTCAACCTTTTGTTTCCCTTTCTTCCAGCTGCAGTGTTGTCAAATTCCTGCCACACTATCCATTACAACAGAGCAGCTGTACCTAAAGGCTTGAGCTCACGCCTGTGCCTGAAACGCAGCTAGTCTTGGAAGACAATCAGGGAGAAGTCAGCTTTGAGCTGTGTCCCGTTTTGTGTGCACCACCGTCATTGCTTGTACGGCTTCAGCAATAAAACAATATGGGTGCAATGGGGTGCCGTAGTAATTGGCCTATCCAACAAGGAGAACAAATACACTCGCACATTAGCGAATGGACTGTCCATGCACCAGTACACAAAAGCTACATATCTACAGCAACGCAGTTGAACGCACACATACCTGGCAAGGAGGAAATGCCAACCGAATGCTCCTCATCCACCTTAACCCTGAAGAAATAGGTCCACACAAAACAGGGAAATAAACCCAAACACATTAAATCAGGAAAGCAAAAACTGCTGCTGAAGATTACAATAGACCTGGTCTAGTGCATGGAAGTATTGTCAATGTCATACAGGACTCTACTGAATAGTCCTTGTAGACAATATAATATATTGTATGTACTACTACCGTCACGCGTGATGCTCTCTTCAATGAGCCTTTTGCACACTGCGCAGATGTACAAATCCCGTAGATACGTACTAGGTCCACTGGGTATCAGTTGTGCTAAATACGCGCTGTGGACTTGATTTCGCAATGGTCTACCCGGAAGACCATTGAAACCTTTTTCAGCAGTGAACACAATTGGATTTCGTACAGCCAACCCCCCCCCCCCCCCCCCCCCAATAGGTTCTACGGGATTTCGTACACCTGTACAATATATATGCAAAAATCAAGCCATAATTGTTTGATCAGATCCAGATCCAGACCTACTGGATCCATCAAGAATCAATTGATCAACTTTTGTTCGCACTACTAGTGTTACCTTAATTGGTTAGATTGACAGCATGAAACAAGGTGGAGGCTGTCAATCTAACCAATTGCGTGAACTATAACAAGGTTTATCTAATACTGGTCTTGCAGACAAAAAGTCACTCCAGAGTTCATACTCATGACATTGTGACATCATATTCGCCATACATATCTTGACATCAATGGCGTGGTACATTTTGTGTCCATGTGCATGTGTACTACATGGCATACGTTGACAGTGGCGGAAAACTTCAACTCAGAGTTTCATCAGCTTTGCCACTTGGCCAATCACCAGTCGACTAATTATAGCTGTGTTGCAAGCTCCACTTAGAGTGTTGAGCACTCTCGCAAATCAAAGGCACCTTTGCTTCGTTTACAACACAACACACATGTGTACAATGGGTGTGTTCGATTACTGCCATGAATCGATTCATGAATGGAATCGGTCGTTCGATTTCATGTCATGAGCCCTGGAATCGGTTCGGACTCCGTTCACCCTATTCACATGGGGTGATGCGAATAGCCTGGGGCTATTCATGAATGGATTCAACATCGATTCGCGGGCACAATCGAACGCATTCAATGAGTGTTGCCTGCCAAACACATATAGACGTCTTGTGTTGGCCACACAAGAATCTGTTGGATTGGATCTGGATCCAGATTCGACCATTACAAATCGAATGGATCCTATGGCTATAGAACTGGATTCGACCAAATGATCACATCCTTATAGACCAAGCGTGTGCACAATGTCATGTTATCCATACACAGTTTTCTGGACGAAATGGGCGCTTTGTGCACCCAACACACAGTGCAACACCCATGGCGTCGTACAGGTTTGTTCACATTTGCACGCATATGTACTTCGACATTGAGCATCTGGTCATATGAATGCGTCGTGTGTGCATGGAATTTAGTGGCAGCAAGTTAGTTTGCACAATGGCCAATGGGCATACTTACAGTCACAAAAATAGTCCATATTCACACAATGTTTTAAAGCATGGACATTCAAGCAAAGCAATCGAGAATAGCACGCAGGGATGAATTTATCCGGTATCGCATCGCAGTTTGCTACGCAAAATCGATCTACTGCTACTCAAAAATCACAGTGACACGCAGAAAGCTGCGATACATACATGTACAGGCGATCCATGCTTTTCGTAGCTTACGCCACAATTGAGATTTTGCATAGCAAAAACTGCTATGCAAAAACGTGACAGTAAATTCATCCCTGGCACGCTAGCACAGCACAAGCAAAATGAGTATTCACAAAAAAAATGGTGCAAACCCTCATACACGTACACGTGGTACAGTCAATGAGTCATGGTTATGTACTCATGTGTGTGTACAAGCACGTGTCAACTAAATTGACCAAAGTATTAGCAAGAGTACGTATATATTATAACAAGGAACCGAGTGTATATAGAGATATATACACTCATACCTCTCTTATCCGGGCGCTTCGGGACCGGACACTGCCCGTAACTTCGAGGGTGCCCGTAACTCCGAATCATATACATCTTGATGGGGAAAAGGCCATCGATATGGCATATGACGTCAATATTTCTACGAAAAGTGACAAAAGAGTAGTAATATTTCCCCTGAAACTCGCCCAAATAGTGCCCGTAACTTCGAAGTCCGGATAACCGAGGTATGAGTGTACACCAGTATGAAAACCGAGGCGAAGCCGAGGTTTTTATATCTGGTGTATATATCTCGATATACACGATATATCTCTTAATTTGCTAAATGGAAGTTTCCGGAGGAGGAAACTGTAGTTATCACCAACCCTCACCGCGCCCAGCTCACGCCGCTACGGCGTGCGACCTGAGCTGGGCGCCCTGCCCAGTATGGAACTGTCCTCAAGCCAGTCACGTATTTGGCAGCCCAGTGAGCTGTCGACCGGATCGCAGCGTTTAGAAGCGCCAAATGCGGCAGGGCCAGTCTCAGGCTGGTCACGTAGGCGGCAGGCCGGCGGGCGACCGGCAAGGCTGCATTCGCATTTGGATCACCGAAGTGATACAGGTGCTTCGACGGCACTCCGTGGCGCATCAAGGAGGCATCTGGGGCCCAGGCAGCCCGCCCGTAAGCGCACCACCGTATCAGGTATGCGCAGGTGGAGCAGCAGAGCAAGATGTGTGCCGGACACTCACCATCATCCGGTCGACTGCATGGTTGTGCGACTTTACACAGCCGTCACTCATTACTTGCTATTGCTTGCAGAAGGCCAGAATTTTTTTGCTCTCGTTTGCTCTAAAGCTAGTTGGTTTACATGGTTTATACCCGTACCTGAGCATGGATCCTACTCAGCAGCGGATCGCTGGTATTCCTCGTTTGAGACCGCGGCGACGGCAGCGTCGGCCCTGACCAACAAGCCTCGGGCGATGAGCATGCCGGCCGAAAATGCAAGCATGGACACTGTCGTGTATGACCAGTTTAGTTGAGTTCCTTGGAGGCGCTATGATGCCGGCCGGCGCATGTGTTGGCGCACGGGAGACGATTAGGACAATACGGCGTGCGGAATACGTCGAGCTGGCCACAATGCTGCCTTCCTGTCCTGCCCACACGCAGCCAGCAGCCAAACGTGTTAGAATCGATCAATCCGATGGCAATCACTGAGTGGAATTGTCATTGGCGGCTCCTCTTCTGGCAAGAGAAAAACTGAATCTCTAATCTACTGGGTCGAGGCCTGGCAGACTTTCAGAACCATCGCGCCTTGCAACACGAGCTTACGCCCTCTGGGGCCCTAAGTAGTCCGATAAGAAATTCATACTGCACGGCGACAAAAGGGCAGTTGGAGCAGTCTGAAATCCGGGACTTGCCGAAATCCAACCGTGACGGAACTAGCCCACTTCAGCCCCGCATGGTAGCAGAACACAAGGCTTTATCTCGCTGACTACCCATATTACGGTCACGGACAACTCCGCTGCGGACGCTCTTTCACGCGGACGATTAGTCCATTTCCTCTCATCGGCTCCCTAATCCAGCTGCTGGACTCGGCTTAGTCCCGAACTCATGCTATGCGGGAGCAACTAATCATGGCAGCAAACCGGCTGAACTTCTTCTCAACCAATGCGTGCCTCCTTTTTCATTCGCTGTGTAGTCTATCTCTCTCAGCACACGTGGGTAAGCACGCAAGCACACACACACCCACGCACACGCATACATACATACATACATACATACATACATACATACATACATACATAGACACACACACATACTCTCTCTCTCTCTCTCTCTTTATCCTCCTCCATCCCTCACCCTGCTTCGCCTCTAAGTGCTGTCGCTCCCCTCCCCTTCCTACTCGTACTAGGCGGCATTACACCAAGTCTCAGCATATGGGGTCTACTTTGCTGTTTTGGGGCTTTGTTTGGACATGGCAAGCTGTTATCTTTTTCCTTGCGGCTGTCGTCGCTGTTGCCATTGTTGTTTAGATACCACGGCGAGCCGGCAGTACGTGCCGGTGTTGGCGGGCTGGCGACCTTGTTTTACTTTCAGTAATTAACACTTTACCCGAGGTGCGACGGATTAATCCGTCACGACCGCGCAGGGCATATTGCAGACACGCGTATGTGCGTTACACACACACACTCACACATTATGCGCACCCGGCGGGCAGGGCGATTGGCCCATGCTGCTTATTCAGTTGTACTAGCGGAGGCAGGGGCGATTCCCCTACGTAATCGCCCATGCGGCGGAATACCCGGCGGCCTGATACGGCGGCGTTGCGAGCAAATGCAGGGGTGGTTCCCTTTTGAGCTATGTTTGTGGCGGCGGCAGAGGCAGGGGCAGCGCCCCTAGCCCATGCGGCGGTTGACCCGGCGGCCCGACATGGCAGTTGGCCCAGCGGTCCGATATGGCAACTGACCCGGCGGTCTGATATGGCGGCGGCTGACCCAGCGGTCTGATATGGCGGCGGCTGACCCAGCGGTCTGATATGGCGGCTGACCCAGCGGTCTGATATGGCGGCTGACCCAGCGGTCTGATATGGCGGCTGACCCGGCGGTCTGATACGGCGGCTATGCGAGCAAATGCAGGGGCAGCGCCCCTTTGCGCGTGTTGTTTGCGGCGGCATTGGTCAAGGCAGGGGCAGCGCGCCTCGCCTGGGTGGCGTTATGCCCGGCGCTGCGGCTATGTTTGCAAAACGCAGGGGCCGCTCCCCTTTGAGCTTTGTATGTTCACAGCTATGTTTGCAAGATTCAGGGGCAGCTCCCCTTGGGGCCTGGTACAGTTATGTTTGCAAAAAGCAGGGGCAACTCCCCTCCGAGCCTTGTATGTAATCGTTTACAGCGATGCTTGCAGAAAGCAGGGGCAGCTCCCCTTAGTGTGTGGTATGTTTACAGCTATGTTTGCGAGGAAGAAACAAAACAAAAAAAGGGCTTGGAGCTGGGTATGTTTACGGCCACGTTTGCAAAATGCAGGGGTAGCTCTCCTTGGAGCTTTAGCTAGTTGACAGCTACGCGACAAAATGCAG